CATGGGCTTTTAGGCCTTGAACCTGGATCTGGAAGGCCGTCAGAAGCTTTGCATTGATGGCAACATGAGAATAATTTCACGGTTCCCACCATGGTGAGTTCTGGCCGGTCTCGTGCAGAGCACCGTCCAATAACTCGATGGGGCCACTGTGGTACAAAGACGGGCCGAGTCCACTAACATCGACGGGCTCCACATTCCGGTTGCTCATTATGGAGGAAATAGGGGTGGAGGTTGCGTAGAACCCCTACGCGTTGCATGTGCCTGCTAAGACAGCTTGGTGAACTTGTGCTACTGCCAGGTACCGATTCTCTTCACAGTCGCCCAGCAAACGGCGCAAGGGGCAGGCAGGAGTGAAGCGAACATGACCAAAAGCTGCTCATCAAGGTCAATGCCTGGCTGTCTGGACGGCGAACGAGGGTGTTTCATTCGGAAGTCAGAATACATTGTGATCCTATTCGCTAATAACGGTTCTTGCGGCCGACGCGTCGGTGGTGTTGTTGTTGTTGAGAACGCGGTGGTTGTGAAATAGCTGATGTCAGTCGATGTATAAACGTAAATGAAAACTCTCGACACATGAAAGCCAGAATGAAGTTCCCGAGTAGCCCATATACTCGTAAAGGGATTCAACAGCAAAGAAGGTTATCTTTCGTCCCATCTCAGCAAAAGACGAGACGGCGTGTGCAGCATCTCATTCGCAGCGCTGGCCACTGCCTGGCACTGCCCCCGTCTCCTGTCGTCCACTCAAGCTGCGAGCACCGGGTGACGAGAAGACGAGACTGAAACGAGAGTTACCTCGGACGCATCCCAATGACTGCAGACTCAGCTCAGCGCAACGCAATACGGGACCGAACAAGAGGCAGAAAGAGAGGAAACGATCAATCGAAAATAGCACATGGGAGAAGGCTTCCGTTGCCTGACCTACCACACTAAGTTACGCCGTTAAGAAGGTGTCAAACCACCCGAGAATTCCAAGGTCAATTAGGCTCTGCTGGATGACGGGTCCAAGGCGTTCGCAGGTACCTACGGCACTACCGTCTACCTTACACAGTACTGCAGCCTGCAGGGCGCTCAAGCAACGCAGCCCGGCGAAAACGTTTAGTGGCGCCGGGGTTGGAAGGGTGAAGAGCATTGTTCTCGTTCCATTCCTCGTTTCCTGGTTGGCCCACGTCTTCTATCCTGCACGGCCTAGCGAATTAGACCCCCTGGAGCCGCCCCGAAATATCGGAAATTCACTGCAACCTGTGGACTGGACAACCGACACCGACACCGACACTCGCTGCACCTAACCGTCTGAGAGGGACTTGCGCTGACACCGTCTGACTTAAGCTTGCAAAGCTGCTGCTGCACACCCTCCCCTTCTGCACCGCACTCCTACTTGGCTATTTGCCTTTCGCATTTCTGGGGAGCCCAACGATCGACAACTTTCCCGCTCTTGTGTGTCACCTGTTCCAAGAATAAGCAACTACATACATTTGGTGAGATAACCTCTTCTCTCTGGAACGGAACATCGTCACTACAGAAATAACTTCCCGCATTGCCTTGACCGCCAAATCCCTTTTTCCCTTTACTTTTCTACACGAGTTCCCCCGCTTACCTTCGTTTCCCCAGGTAACCCTCCGCTGCGAACTACAACAACAATCATCGCCACAACAAACCCTCTTCGCGATATCATGTCAGCTGCCACAGCAAAGAAACCGCCCGCTGCAGGCGTCGGTCGCGTTTCCTCGACAGACTCTGCATCATCACCTTCTGCTTCTCCTGCGAGAACGCCAACGCGATCTTCCACGCCCGCCGCCGCTGCTGCTGCTCGCAGAGCACCTGCTCGGACAGGAACTCCCGTGTCCGCTCGTGCAGCTGCAACAAGAAGGGACTCTGTCCTGAGCAATAGTAACGGCAATGGAAATTCTGAAGCTGAGGAGGCTGCAAGGGCCGAGACCCTTGCGTTGTTGGACGACCTCAAGGAGCGCCTCTCCAAGGCTGAAATCTCCTCCGATGTGTACAGGAAACAGGTCGAAGTGCTGCAGACAAGATTAGACGATGCAATCAAGGAGTCTTCTAAGCTAGAGGAAAAGGTGCACGAGACGGAAGAGCAGATTGAGACGCTGCGAAACGAGAAGAGGGATGTCGCCAAGAAGATGCGTGAGATGGAGGCAATTTACGAGGCCGAACGAAGCTCTATGACCAAGGAGAAGGAAGAAATGTCCAACAGGGAGGAGGAGATGCAGACCATCATCCAGAGACTGAAGGACAACTTGTCGCAGCGGAACGATGAAGAGGGTCGTCCTTCAAGGCAATGTAAGTTTCGACATCTCAAGTCGTGAGACCTAAAGCTAACATTCCTCAGCGGCAGCAACATCTCCCAACGTTGACAACGGCAGCTTTGCTCCTCCTTCGTCTCTGAACCGCAGCGACTCGCGGAACAACTCAAAGCTTCTGCTCCAGAAGGATAAGCTGATTGAATCTTTGCGGCTCGAACTTGCCGAGGCCCAGATCAAGCTGGTCGAGTCTGAGAACCAGGGTGGCGGTAGACTGCAGGAGGTTGAACGTCTACTGATGGAAGCCCGCATGGCCAATGCCCGCCTCATGGAAGATAATGAGAGCTACCAACTGCTGCTCCAGGAAAAGACCCTCAATGGCGATTTCTCTAAGAATGATTTCAGCTACATGGGGGTTTCCGCGAACCAGGATGCGCTCAATGCGCTTGAGGGCCGTTCCGGAGGCGCAAGCTTGGCTGACGAGCTGTCCGAGGATGCTTCAGATGCTGGCGGTAACGACAATGAACATGCCCGTCGCATCGAATCGGAGCTCAAGTCCATGAAGGACCAGAACAAGGCGCTGACGCTGTACATCAACAAGATCATTGAGAGACTTCTACAGCACCAAGATTTCGAGCACATCTTGGACACCTCTACCGAGATCAAGCCGGCCGCAAACACCAACAAGGACCTCCCGCCTCCGCCAAAGGACGGCGCTTCCGGAGCGTCGCTATTGCAACGAGCCAAGACCATGGCTGTCGGCCCGAACAAACCCAAACAAAGGCCCATGTCTTACGTGCCTTCAGCCCAGCCAGCCAACTCGGCACATACGGACCCAGAGACGGCGCCTCGCATTCCTATCGGGAATATGACCCGTTCCTCCAGCACCCGCCGTGCGCGCCCGATGAGCGAGCAATTTACTGGTGTCAACCTCGTCAACCAGATGTACAGGGGACCGGACGGACCCATCTCCCCACCCCTCGGCTCCCCCCGCACTCCGCGAACATCGCAGACTTTCTTCGGCGGCAACCCCAATGCGGCTGCTCGGGCATCCAGCGGCCAGCAAGCACCCACCGCAGGAAACTTCCCCGGCATGCGTAGCGAGACCTCGAGCACCAGCGGCGACTCGAACGACCTCACGGGTACGCCTCCCTCGCAGTCCCCTCCGCGGTCTCACCACGAGAAGCAGACCACCTTTGCTGGCAACAAACCCCGTCCTCTGCGCCTGGTGCAGGAGAACAACGAAGCCAAGCAAGAGAATAACAAGCGATCCAGCTGGATTGGCTGGGCCTCCGGCTGGGGCAAGAAGGAGGAGGGCGCCGCCGCTGCCCCCGGATCCAACGAAGCTATCCCCGAGTAATCGGCACACACTGACGCCGTTATGTTTATGACCTCCTTCTTTGCTTTGCATCGCATAGATTTCTTCCCCTTTGTCCAACCTCATCTTAGCACTGGACTTTGGCATTGTTGGATAAGGAAAGCACAAAAACAAGATGGGATCCCCCCTGATCTGCGCTGCTGGTTTTCTCCATGCAAACGGGGTCTCGGTTGGCATTTGCGGGTAGTGTACGAACGAAACGTTGGGTTTGGAGGCGCTGTCCATTTTGTGGATATTATTGTTTGGCTTCTTTCCTCTTCTTATGGCTATATGTTTATGCCTGTTTACTTTTGGGTACTAAACGCTACACTATATCTACTCTTCAGTTTTCAAGGGGGGAGGAAGGGGCGGCAAAGACACTGTATGGGCTGCACGAGATGTGGATGACGAGGTGGAGGAGGGAGGTTCCCCAAGGTGTTTTTCTCTTCGATCATGAACAAGCAGCATCACCTTAATTGGGTGCTGGAAACTTGATGACAAGCGCCTGCTATTACAATATGGCTTCACGGATGTACGAGTCCATTTGGCTGTGGCCTGGCTAGACGCAATGTTGGATAGATACATGAGTAATGCTAAGATGGCTTGACGTTAGTTTTACAGACCTCTGTTCCTCGCCTTGGAAAGGTGCGTTTGATGTCGCGACTTGGCGTGGCCCATGAGTGGTTCTGGCCATCCCAAACTTACTGAATAGGGCAACCACCATTTCCTGAATTTTTAGAGAGAATTTGGACGCGACAGCCCTTTGCGGGTGATGATGACTCTGGACCATCCAAGATGCTTGTAATTAGGCCATTTCGTCCCTGCTCGAAATGGGCAGGGAACGAGAATGGTTGAGCTGGCGGCCAAGGTAAACATTTCTTCACTGGCTGATAACTGACGAAGGCTCGTATATGTCCGTATCACCTCGACAGACTGATATGCTTGACTGCGACCGACCATGTTGTTTGTTGCCTTGGTCCATCCATCCAGCTCGATCTATACATACATATACACGTGGTCTTTTAGAGGTCTGACTCGACAGACAGCACTCGTAAGAAGTCAAACAACGAAGACCCCATTGCTGTATTGCCAACTCCCCGGGAAATAAGCATGCTTCGTCCTCGCTCGACCAGATGCTCGATGGCGATGATTCGGGGGGCGTAGAACAACCCAGGCTGCCTCCCGCCCACTGCGTTTCCTTTCCCAACGCTAAAGGCCTGGACTTTTGACACACATGCGGCGGTTCCGTTCTTACATTCATTGACTCCGTTCCGTCTCACTGATACAGGGAGTTTGAAAACAAGGAAGGGGGTGATTAACCCAACTTAAGGAAATTCCATTCCGTTATTTTGTGTTTGCTTCTGAGAATGTATCGCGCTAGCTAGCGGTCACAGACGGCTGTTGCCGCCGCCGACAAAAGCGTCGAGCTTCTTCTGGTCGTAGACGTCCGCTTCGACCAGCTTCTCCCACTTCTATCATTGAATAGTCAGTGTGCAAGAAAGAAGGAGTTGCGCGGAACGGAACGATACATACCTTGTCTCCCGAGACCTTGATGAGGGTCGGCAGGTTGGTAACGTTGAACGGCACCTGTCTCCACGGGTTCTCTTTTGTTCTCCACCTGTCATGAGGAATTTGTTAGCAAAAATGTTTAGCCGGCCACTCGTTACTTTTTGAGAAATGTTTCTCTCGGATGAGATATCAACATTGTTACAGGGGTCGGCTGGTTCCATTAGGGGATCAGGCAGAAAGAGACAAGAGGAAACTTGGAGAGGCGTTGCAGGTTCAACTCACTCATCGGGCAACCCCGCATAGACGACCCGGACGGTATCCTCACTGCCGCTAAACTTCTTCTCAATGTACGGCTCCGCGGCGGTGCAGTCGCCGCACCACGACCGCCCGTTGCGGTGCGAGGCGTAGACGACGAGGTACGCTGGCTTGGCGTTGCTGGCTTCGGCTTGGAGGGCCTTGGCGACGGCCGAGGCCGGCTCCTTTGTGGTGATGACGGGCATTTCGGCGAGAGAGAAAGAGAGAGAGATTGTGTGTGTATGTAGTCTTTTGCCGGCGAAAGTTGCGCCCAATATTAGTGAAGTATGATATGTAGGATATCTTTCTTTTTCAAGGTAAGATGAGAAGAAGTCTCGAGTGGCCTGGTTGCTGATTTGAACTTGTGTTATATGACTCGGTAAGACTGCAGCGAATGGCATAATACATTCAGTCGTTTGCGTTATTTCGGGGCTCATGACGGCGAAGACGTTTCCCGGAGCTTATCCGACTGCATCTCACAAACGCGCATTGTCGAACAACAAGACACTCAGCAAGAGCTTTCGTTTTTTTGTTTTTTTTAAACCCCCTTTTAATTTTCCCCTAGCGGCATTCACTGCCTTCCCCAATTGTTTGTAGTTGTTTGGCTCTGACTACAATCAGATTGGATCATGGAGGTAGGTAGGCAAGCTCACTCGCGATGGCTTACCGCCACGGAGATAGCGAGCAAAATGTGGCACCAATAATAGCCCCCCCACACACAACATGCGCAAAGAGGGATCGAACACCAAATCGAACAAAGAAAGCTATAGAAATAGCGTATACCGATTCGATTTATGTGACTTATTGAAGAAAATGGCAAAAATAGTTATGACAACTGTGAGATTCGAACTCACGCCTCTTTCGAGACCAGAATACTCCCTGGTATCAGGGAAGACTTGGGAACCGTTGAACGTCCCATTATCTTGAGTCTGGCGCCTTAGACCGCTCGGCCAAGTTGCCCATTCCCGAATCACTCGCAAAATGCCAAGTGGATCAGATGTGGATGCTGTGGTTTGTTGCTGAGAAGATTCAAGAATCCTCTTCTCTCCGTGGTCTTGATTCTTCCATTCCTCCTCCCCGGCGCCCCCCCAGGTTCCCTAATCTACCCAAGTACTCAAACTCATTCATAAATTGGTCAGTCTTTTTTTTCTTGCTTTCATAATAATACTGATAATAAAAAGCAAGCAAGAGATATGCCACACCAAAAAAAAAAAAAAAAAAGAAGAAAAAAAAAACCCCCTTTGAGATCGAGGGTTGCAGTGGGCCGGGCCCACCTCCGATCGGAGAGGTCAACTTCCAGGGGCCTGGGTATCAACCCCTCCTGAGTCCTACCCCCCAACGTTGCTTGGGGATCTGTTTACATTACCCACAGATCGTCCCCTTGTGATGGATGTAAAGGCGGTCAGTGGGAAACTCTCACAACTTTGATGAATGCCAGCTGGCAGGGTCATGCGAGATGCACACAAACATGTTTCGGGAAGGGGTCCCCGGTTGTGGAGAGAATCTGTTTTTCCTTGGCCTAAAGCATTGTACGTCGTTGATCAATAGGTGCTTATAGGAACAGCGCTGTTTAGGCCAAGAATGTGCCCTATGAAAGGGAGCAAAGCAAGGCGGTTGTACGGACACTTCAATGGACTATCTAGCCTCAGAGCAGCCAGTATCAACATTCTCTAGCTATTTAGCTCTTCGCCCCTCTAGCAGGGCTGAGCTAAGGCAGCCAACTTCATCACAAATCTCACTGAGACTGCATAACTTGCATGTTAAAACTAACTTTCTTGTTGTTGTCACGCACCTCTGTGGGCGGACCTGACTCCTCGTCCTTCGTCTCTCCTGTTGGTCGTCAAGTTTCGTTACAATTACAACAGCGTAGTTGCTACTTTCCCTTTCTAATGTAAACCCAAGAGCAGAAAAAGGCCGTCGCATAGAAGATTCCCATACTGTTAGGAAAGCAACGCAAAACCCAATTGTCCTAGTCCTTGCCCCTTATGAAGAACGGTCCTGTGCCTGAAAGAGTGTCGCTTCGCTGTTTTGTCCTGTGATTTGGTGTGCCGAGGTATGGCATGTGGTCCACAAGTGTTGTGGTCTGGCTGGATGAAGAAAGTCAACGCAGGAAACAGGAGCTGCGCGAAAACGCTAGCTGAAGATACAAGAGCCATCGTGGTTAGCGATGCTCTCATTGAGAGAAAAATATGTACAGTTCGCTTTTGTCTGTCTTTGTTCCGAAGCATTTGTTGCTGGAAAGCCTCGCTCAACGCCGCTTTTCACCCTGAAATACTATGCTATGCCATGCACGCTCGATATACAGAACAAGTTGACAAAGAAAATGATCGAATGTGTCGATCTCCAGTGAAGAGAATATCCTATGGTTCGAGACCTGGTAATTCTCCAGGGAGAGTTGTGTTAGGTCTGAGAGATGGATCACTGGCAGAGTTTGGCTTGACTGTTGTTCTGCCAGAAATTGGTGCGCTTCTAACCCGCTGGCTCAACGGTAGAGAATAGCGAACGACACCTTTGACGATTAAGTCGAATTCATCCTGGATGATATGACCCCATCGCTCGGAACCCCCTGCCGAGTGGTTGCCTGGAAGATGGAGTCTCATGGTGCCCGTCGATGCCGATACACCCTTGTTGAAGAAAGAACCCTCAAAAGACAGCGGACTGTCAAACTCCGTAATGGTCCCGAGTCGCATGTTTGGAGCATTGTCTTCGTCCGGTGGATCATCAGGAGGATCATCCCTAATATGCATGCCCGGGTCTTCCATATCCCCCTCGTGTGGCCGCTTCCACCAGTCAAAGTCGGTCCCCGCGTGTGGTGACTTGGCAAATATCTCCAGATTCGCCTGGTCAATAGAAACAACCACAATGTTGGGGTTGTGAGCTTTGACCGTCAAGTCGAACATCAGCTCGGGGTCACTAGCTAAAACGTTCTTGACAGCAACCAGTTGGATGTCTGTCAGCGGCTGTGACGTCGCGAACATGAAGCCAATCGCGCCAGTGATGACTAGGAGCAACATCATCGTCACGACCAGACAAGCTGCGAACCTATTCAAATAGGATGGTTGTTGCCTGTAGGCCTGTGATTCGAGGTTTCGCAGATTAGCAGGTTGACGTCGGCTCCTCCTGGAAGACCGGACTGAAGACGAAATCAACGGGGTGCGCTCGTCGTCAGCACCAGTGGTCGTGGTATCGTCAGCCGCATCATAACGAGCCATCTGAATCGACGATCGCTTTCCGAGCGCGTGCGGACCACCTCTGGCGGAACTTGCAACCCTAGGACTAGGAGGGCCGGATGACTGTCTCGAGGTGTTGCCCGAAAGCTTAGACCGGGCAGCATTTGGAAAGAGCGATTCATTGTCGAAAAGTGAGGGGTGTGAGTTTCCAACCTGTCGCCCCCAACGACCAAAGTGATTGTGGTGGTGATGCCGGCTCGTACCTCTGCCCGATCCAGGCCCCACACTCCTGCCGCTGCCCTTACCGTCTTCGTCGACGCCAAGGCTCTCAGCTCCGTTGCTGTTGAACGTGTTGACGAACTTCATGCTCTTTTTCAGTCCAACGGCTGCCGCGGTGGCGCCACTACCCTGCAGAGCCTCGTGAATCGAGCGCATCCCCATGCCGCCAGGTCTGTCAGCTTGACTGATCATCGAGGTGGCGCTCGGAGTCCGCGAGTGGAATCTACGCCTGTCCCCAACATCTGGGGGGTTGGAATCGTAAACAAATGTCTCTTCAGAGTCTGACGTATTCGCCTCGTCAACGGCGCTGGCCACTTTAGCCTCAAAAATATCTGCTTTCGAGGATGCTGATTCAAGTCTGGTTAGTAAATTTCTAGTAAAAGGAAATTTCCGGATAATGGGTAAATTGCAGATAAAAATCCCAACGTGAAATCTCGACTTCATGGACTGCCGCGGAGGGTGCACAATTTCTGCTTGCGGCGCCGGAAACGTTGTTTCAATGGGTGACAAAGCATCAGTTGCTGCAGACACTGATCGCAGACTGTGCTGGTGATGCCGCAGCGTCCTATAGGGATACAAAGATGAATCTGGAGTCTCACCGGTGCCAGAGTTGACTGTCGGTTGTTTCCGGCTCGTCTTCTTCCTATCTTTCTTGGGTCTAATCGTCTCGGTGCTTGGCTTCGCCCTGAGTGTACCGCTGCTGGCTTCCAATTTAGAAGCAGGTGCTAATGCCACCTGGGGAATGGACGACACGGTCTCTGTCTCGACTATAAGGGAAGATCCTTCTCCGGTGGCCTTGCTCTTGCCTTGTTTGTTGGACAGCACACTGGACTGTCGCGTCACCGTCGGTACAGGAGCAGAGCTCTGGGATCGCACTCTGAGTGTTCCATTGTCGCCCATATTGTCGTGGGCTTGGAGGGCTCCTCTGCTTAATCGAATGGTGCGATTATTGTCCACTTGCGTGAGGCTGTCGGCACTCACAGCAGCCTCGTGGGCCAGCTTTTCACTGACCTTTTCGAGCGTAGAGTCCATTTGCCCTGGCGAATTCGGCAAGCTCACTTCTTGTACTGTTTCCAGAGTCGAGCCGTTTACGGTTACTGGAGTTCGCACGCCAGATGGTAGTTGCGAGTCGTCGGTTTCGCTTTCTGACATGGAAGGGAGGGGTTCCGGTTGGGGAGAGGAGGGGGCTTTCGTGAGGTTTACCCTCGGAACTTCCTGCTCGCTTTTTCGTGTCGCGGGTGGAATTTGAGGCTTATTGAGCTGAGGAGGGGGCGAGCGCAAACGAGGCGACACCGGCCAGCGAGGGCTATCTCTCGTTTGAGCTACCTCAGAAATGAGGGGTGCCTTCTGAGGGTTGATAGATTTAAGAAAGGATTCTTGTGAATTCGGGAGTAAAGTGGGAGTCGTGGCAGTGGAGAGAATTCTAGACGACGTCGCCGGTCCTGGTTTGTTGGTGTTGGATCTGGGCGTCCGAACTGCAGTCAAGTCCTGATGGCTGCTCTTGCGCGATCTCAGCCCAGGTGTGGATGACAATTTGGGCGCGTTTACGAACTTCTGGGCCTTTCGTGACGGGGAGCCGTCGCGGGAGTTGTATGGTGATGGTGTCGAAGACGTTGTGGCGGAGGATTGTTTAGAGTGCGGTTGTGTCTCGGCGGCGTTGCTTGAGGGAGTAGTGATGGAGGTCTCTGTGTGTTCTATGCGTGACTGGCTTGCGTCAGAGGACCCGTTCGTGGTGCTGGATGTCTTTTCCATGGCCGAGGATTTCAAGTGAGACAGCAAAGGGAATGGAGCCTCGTCTAGTCCTCATACCAATCGAATGTGGGTATTGTTAACTCGGGAGCCGGCAGTCGTAGTTCGGAACCAGGCCTATCATGATGTTCGACAATGCGACGTGGGATGCGATGGATTTCTGGGTGGAAGGCTGCGACCCTATCGGGAGTCTGGGGATATTCGTCTGGTCCGTTGTTGTGCTGCTTTGGGCAGCTTGAGGCAAGACCAATGCGCGGTCGTGTCTAGGTTTCGTGGTTGACTGGGTGCTAAGCTACTGGCGATTGGGCTGCTGTGGAGCTGTTTGACAGGAACACAAGAGTGAGAGTGATTCGCAGAATGTTTCCTGGTAGAAAAGAATACGGGTTGACAACGAGGAGTAAGAAGCTCTAAATGAGGGGATTGGCGGGGGGTAGAAACCAAGTGTGGTGGTGAGAGTTGAAGGGGAGTGTGTGGTGTGTCTGATGTAAAAGACGAAGACGAAGACGGCTGGAGGTGGTGGAGGTTGTGGGAGACCAGACGGACGGGAATGAGGTCAGGAAGGTCAGTCAGTGCAAAGCCGAAAATTGCTGGGTGCGCTGGCACTGGTGAATGGCGTCGATGCTGGTGAGGGAGGCACTTGTTGGTGCAGGCAACTGGGCGATTGGGGAATGGTGGAAAGACCGGGCTCTGGCGTGTGACGCCTATAACCTGCCCAGCGAGAGTCTCAGAGACCTCAGCGGCCCAGGGTTGAGGAAGCACCTGCCGGAAAGTAGTGCCTTGTTTGCAAGGGGAGCATTGCAGGTTCCTGGGTACATGGCTGGTTATACAGGAGGTACGTACTGGAAGTAGCCAACCTCCCGAAAGGATCCATGCGCCTGGCTGTTGCCGGGGGCCGGCGGCGGTCATCAAAAAGACAGGTACGAGGATACATCAGCGAATACTTGGTTCGAAGTATCCGGCTCGCCCTGCTCGGGGTCCATTTTGCTGCTACCTATTATTCTCCAGAGGTGATGCACAGGTGCTGCCGCTGCCGTCACTCGCTCCGCCGGAACTGAGTAGAGTTACCTTAGTTTTCCGTGCGATTACCGGTACCTATCTCCCACTCTCATGGTTGTTCTGGGACAGGTCCAGAACCCATCGAGATTTACCTAGGCCTACTACCTACTTCCAAAGTAAGCATATGAATTGTACTGCCGCTCCCCGTGCAAGCAAGCCGAATTGTACATACACAAGTGCATCCATCATCCATCCATCATACACACACCTCCTGTCACCAAGGTTGGAGCCGGCTGACCAACCATGAGGCAGGATGCTTCTGAAAGGAACGGCGCGGATGTGAAGCAAACAGCCGTCTTGCTAGAGCCATCCTAGAAGAAAGGCTACCCTAGATTCTGTGGACAAGGTGACAAAGACCCGGAAGGGTAACGAGTAAGGGGCAGCAAGACAAGTTACGACCAGAAAACCCAAAATGAGGGAGAAAAAATTAAAATGAAAAAGCCAATTATCATAGTACCGGTTCATGAAGGGAAGGGCGACCTTGATGCGCTGCCTCTGGGCTCCTTTGACTGCTTGGTGTCTCTTATTAGCAGACGATGTCCGTATCGTTTCCGCCTTCCTCCATTCCTACCTATTCTTTGTCCCCGTCCCTGCTTCACACGAGTTTTCTCTCGGCTCCCAGCTCCATCCTGGTATAGAAATGTTTCTGCTCAACTTCGGCGCCTCTTGGAAGGCCAACGGAGACATGGGCAGGTCTAGGTCTGAGGGAGCTTGGTGCTCGAGGCACCGCGGAAGCGTTCCTGGAACTCCGCAGCAATCAGAAGCTTCGCTCTGGGACCCATCAGAACAAGTCAGCAACGAAGCTTTTCCCGTCTCAGCCGATTCTGCCTTTCAGTTTCCCGTGGGCAGAAGGGCTCAAGCCATGTGCTCGACGTATTGTCTCGTCCAGTCCTGCCGGGTAACGGATTGCGTTGACGGGTCGCGGTGGGCGGCACCCTGGGCTTCTCGTCTCCTCTCCGCCGAACAGAAAAATCGGATCTCTGGAGAGGGGCAGCGCAGCGGACGGGTTCCTTCAGCAGCCAACGCGAGAGATGGATCCGACTCTGCTGCAGGTCCCAGCATAGCGTCACACAGGGTGAAAGGCGGAAGGCCCGGCGGGTGATGGAAGGGATAACATAATAGGTATCGCGACTGGGGCAGAAATAAAGAGGGGAGAAAGACAGGTCCCATCAACTCTCACCTGTCGGTCTTGCCCAGGCCAAGCCGGTGCCAGGCACAACGTCAACACCAGCCTACCCAACCTCGGAGTTTGCAATAGTCGAGACCGGCTTCCAGTACGTACCTCGTTTTCCGACGATACAGAGTACTTATGACAGGTACGTTCTTTTGTTGCCGCTACTCCTGTATGTAAGGTAGACCTGGACCACTCGGGCGGGGGAGGAGTCCCGTCTTTCCAAGCTCCTTGGAGGTGCGAAGTGAAGTGAGGTACGGACGTACACAGGTACAATGCACATTCTTACATTGTAAGGCACCCTTTTTCCTGCCAAACAACCCAAGTTGCATGGGCCGAATGAGTTTAGGAGAGACTGTGACCGGCAAAACCCCTGCAGCCATTCGGGATGCCTCAGACCGCAATTCTTTTCCCGGATGCTTTTCTCCATATTACCAATTCCAGGACGGACTCCAGTGTGCTCGCTGGGCTGTGGACCATAGTGGATGTCGAATGCAGCCCAAGTCTCTCGCCCACGACGCCCAAACTCGCCTATCCGCAATCTGGAATTTTTCTGGATACAACTTTTGTCGTTGGCCCCCCCCCCTTGCACTCCGCGGGCTCCAGGCAAGGCAAAGCCAGGATTCACGCCGCAGCTGATCAGCATCCAAGAACCCGCTTTGCTTTATTTTGCCTACCTCATGGGTTTCTCTTCGTCTCCTCTTTTTTTTTTCTTTTTTCTTCCCCTCCCCTTCCCATTCCTATCGCACCGACGGCCTGTCACCGACTCCGGGGGGCCATCACCGCTGTTTATAATCGGTTTTCGTGGGACCTTTGGACGCCTTCTGTCCAATGAAAGCGCCTGGTCTTCTTCTTGTCCCTGTCCCCTGCTCCCGGGCAGAAAACCCCGGCTTCTGCAGAGTACACACCCCTAGCTGCCGTCGACATCGTCCACGAAGTACACTGTCACTAGGCTCTTTCATCTCTAACATCACAGTTGGCTTCTCGAGTCTTCCATCTTGGCTGATATCGGCGCTGCTGTGGACGCAGTTCCCAGGGCCAAGGGTCACAAGTGCTCTAGTCAGGAACTGGGGACCGGGGCCATGGCCGGGACCTTCAGTCTGGAGCACCTTCTGCTTCAAAATTTGCCATTCTCAAAGTGCAGGTACCAAGTCACGGCAGACATCCAAGGGAAATTGGAATGCAGCAATTTTCTTGAATCTTTTGATTGCGGCCATCTCGCTACCCTGCAATTTGCTTAGCCCACGATGAACTGCAACTTGAGCTTGATGAGTCACAGGATAAACAGCAAACAATTGTGCAGTGGCCTTCGGAGATCTGACGGGGACGCATGCAGCATGCTACTCTAGAGGCTCCATTCGGAAACTTCGCACACAAATCATGGGCCTTTACGTGGGCTTCGGACCTGGGGCCAAAGCACTATTGAAGTCTACGTTTGTCCTTTGAGGCTTCTACCCCATCTTAGTCAACCGCAGCACGTCTTACACTTCAATCCTTACCACAAATCAAGGGTCGAGACGCCCGCCGCGACCGAAGGCTTGCTTGCTCCCAGTTTGAGTCAATATGGCGGTTTCTTGTCTAATCGAGGACAAATTTACCTTTTCGAGAGGAGGCATGACTACTCTTACTTGGGATTTGACATTACGCCTTGATTCCCTTGTCAAGAGATAACAGACACAACTATCCGGACAGTAACATCTCAGACGCCATGCTCAAGAGGCGGAGTTTGGTTGTGGGTATACATCTTTTCGGTATAGGATATTTTGGTAGGCTCTCATGTCTGAGTCTGCCGACAAGAAGACTGTTTCTGCCAACGACAGAGTGCCTGCAGGTCAGCCGATCAAGATCAAGTCAACGGTCCTTACGCCAGCTTCCTTGAGCCTCTCATAGACGGCCAAGTGGACGACGTGACAAGCACACGACTGGCTGCATCTCCCATGTGAACCATCCTTAGGCTCTGATTTTAGGGGGGCCGCTATCTTGGGTTCTGAATAACCTGAGACATTTCCTACATGTAAAGGGAGGGATTCGGAAAAGTGCACCGGCCCCGGGCTCCCGACAGAATGTCACAATAAACCCACCCGCCTACGATGCCCTGATGGTACCGGGCTATCGGGGGCTTCTGCGATATTCGATTGGTCGTTGGCCGTTCCCCTTGAATCCCACAGTCTGGGGACAGGCAGGCAGAGCAAAACGACTAGAACCGAAGCCAGGCGCGGTGAACGCTACCGAATCGATTAGACGTCTGTTACAAGTTGCCTCTAGCCATCGCCCCCCACAGCGATGGTTATGCTAGACTCTAGAGTGTGATCTAGGCATTTCAAACGCTGCCCGTTCGGAATTACTGCTCTCTTCATCGACGCCATTCCCTTTGCGGCCCTGGCCCATCGCACCTGGCCCATCGTATGATGGATCGCGGTGTCCCCCGCAAGACAGTGTGAAAGGTCCCGTTCCCTGCCCAGATCGAGGTGCTCACCGGCCATCCTGAGCACCGAAACCCGACGAACGGCTGATCTGGCGGCTGATGCTGTGCGACAGAAGCGCTGAGCAGGCCGTTGCGGCGGCGCTGGCATGTCGTTCTTTCGGCTCTACTCCACGTTGCATCGAGGACGCCGCTCCTCTTTGCATACCTTACGAGTTACAAGGGAAGGGAGTGAGCACCGCCAACGGGTGGCCCAGTCAGGCGCAGAGGATGTCCCGTACCAAAAATGAGTGCGTCAGAATTTCGCTGCTGCATTCTACCAGTCTAAAAGAGGTGCCCGGGAGGATCGGTAGGGAGGCAGGCAGGTCTCACCCTCCCGTGCCATGGTGCCGAAGTGGTGAGCACTTTGTCAACCCGCCGGGCTCAAATAACCAGTCGTAGCTCAAGGTGACAGGCAGGAAGGCCGAGTTGTGGTGTCTGATTAAGAACACGGTCCTCTCTTGCTTTCTCACACTTGGCAGGTCGAACCAGCTACCCTCTTGGCCCCCACACACATAGACAAGCGCGAAAGGAGAGACAAACCACGTCAACCTCCCACGTCTATGAAGCTTCCCCGTCCGCGCGTGATGTTGAATTTTCCAAGGAATAAAAGTTCTTTTCCACCTACCGAATCCCTCAACAACCCCCGCGTGTCAGCACGCCGTCGGCGGGCGTTGATCATCTGCGCAGGAACCCGGAAGTCTATAGGTTGGGACAACCGACAAGCTAGTATGCAGAGACGTTCCACACCTCTCTAGGAGGAGGTTAGGTTATGAGGCAGACGAACAAGTTCAAGACTACCAAGCAGCCCATGGGCAGCCAACACCCACGCAAACCGTAGAGCCAGGCAAGGTCGGGTTGAGTAGAATATACCCGCCATTTGGGGAAAGACAAGCGGCACCTGTCAGATGGGACGGGCCTTGTTCGTCTCGTCGCGATGCGCTGGCGGGAAGCAATCCGCGCGGGTAGGCAGCCTTGTTCTCTCTGGCTTACCACGGGAGTTTGGCCGCCACTTGGTGGTGGTATAAGGCGCACTCGGATTGGGTGAGCGTGGGCGTGGCCTGTTGTAATTTGCCTGCTGTGAGGTCTCACTCTGGGGGAAAAAACTGACTGCATGCACAGAGCCACGTTGGCCCGCCCCTCCCTCCCTTCCTCCTCCTCCTCCTCTTACTAGGTACTACACCCTTTCTTTGCCTCCGTTTTCCTACGATGATGTACTCCCTGCCCCCGTGGCCCCCCAAACGAGGCGTATCTTATACTTCTACACTTGGTTGCAGAACCGGGTGGTGAACCTTCCCCCGAAGTAGGTGCGAAGCTTTCTTCCATCGGTCCAATCCGGGTCAATGGAGGGGACGGGTGTCGGAAAGTCGAGCACGTATTTGCGGGAAAGGAGTTGCAATTTGGAGCGAACAGCCACGCTTCCCTCACGCCGTTGCTGATTCGCGAGGTTGGGGCAAAGGTGCAACCGAATTGTATAGTGGTCATGTGGCACGTCCTGTCTGGCGCATTCTTATGATGGCTGCCTGACAAATGATGACTCCTAGACCCACGGCGTGATTGGTCGCTTCGCCCATTTCTCCCATGGAGGAGACTGGGTATGTAATTTGTAAATCTCTTGATGGGAGTTGTACGCGGTGACCGGTTGTCTCGGTAAGGGAAGAGGTTGGATGAGGCTCTGACGACTTCAAGCCCATTCCGAAGTCCTATGAGCATTTCGAGATGACACACAATGCTTCGCTGTTTTTGATGAGCGTCGTATAAGCCATGCCGGGACAGGAAAGTCTTTTGAGGTATCTTGCCACATACGACTGCGTTATCATGAGATTTAATAGATTGCGATTTGAAGCATAGCTGCTCAGACCCCTGAGCATTGTAATCTAGATCAAGATAACTCTATCTTCATCTCCGTCGTTCATACATAGCATCGTAAGTGCTGCCACGAAAGTCACTTATGGTGACACGGACAATAGGAACTTGACGTTTTTTAAAGGTAAATAGGAATCAACTTCGCTTAGAAGGATACCAGAATGGCAAACAGCCCATACAAACAAACAACCACGTGATTCTCATCGACATGCAGAGCAAATCTTCGTTGAACCTGGATCTGCAGCCCTATACCATCGTGTAGTTTCGCAACCTGATATCTCCTTCATTTTGTACGCCTAAACGCCAGGCCACGATAGCCGTCTATAAAGCAGCCCATCTACAAAGACCATTCCATCAGACATTATGCAAAGTGGATGCCCTCCGAGTTGAGAGCAGAAAGCAGCTTCAAGAAATCCGTCTCGTCGCACAGCCGCGCTCTCTTCTCCATTAGGCCGGTGCTCTCAAGCGCACGTTCAATCTTACTCCTCACAAGCGCCGCAACCTTGGTCTTCTTGCGCTTGCTCTTTGTCTTCTCAGGCACCTTGGCAGCTGTGGCGTTGAGCTCCTTGAAGAACTCGGGTGTGTCGTCGTCCATGGGCTCAACATCATCATCTTCTTCGTTACCGCCGGCATCCGCATCGTCGTCCATTTCCATGGCGTCGTCTTCATCATCCTCAACCAGAGAGTCGTCCAGGGGCACGTTGTTCATCGCAGCCCATGTGCGGTAGTTCTGGTGATTAATTAGTACCGATATTCTCGAGAGTAGGCACCTTTTGTGCTAACCTTCTCCAGCATCTGGAGTACTTCTTTCGTACCAAGCCAGCTGGCTCGCATGGTCCTGTTCTTACGGTTGAAACACTGAATGGGTTATCAGCTGCAGGATCTCTGGGGTAATACCGATATCACTCACAACACGAAGAAGGCCATCAAACTCCTCGAAGGCGATGGTAGGACGCTCGACTCCCTGCTTGGGTACAATACGCACAACGCAGGAATCGACCTGTGGCGGTGGCCTGAAGTTGGCCTTGGACACCTTCATCTGTCGCAGGGTATCAGTATACCGTGATCAATGCATTTGCTGGCATCTCTACTCACCACGTTCGAGCACGTTGCCCAGAAATTGGCGTTCACACTCAATCTGCCGTAAAGCTTGTCGCCTGGCTTGGCCACAAGTCTTTGTCCGAACTCGAGCTGAAACATGAGAATCGCTTGCCGCGGCGGCTTTGGCATCGCGAGCATCTTGAAGACTAGAGGCGAGGAGATCTAACGACGGATTAGCTGCGCCGCTGTTGCATTAAAGCCTCGAATAACGTACCTGGTAAGGTGTGTTTGAAATGAGAACGTCGAAAGGAACCCATTCGACTTTGATGGCATCACCAAGCATGACGTCGAGCTTGCGCTGTTCCGGAGTCCCTTGCACACGCTGTTTGATCCCGTAAGCCTCTGAGTATCGTCCCGGTTGCGTGTTGTCCAACCTTTGTCACTTCGGCCGCCATTCGAGGATCGAACTCGATCGCAATGAGCTTCTTCGCCTTTTCAAGAATCCTCACTGTTAAGTTACCAGTTCCCGGACCGATCTCGAGGACAGTATCCGTGGGCTTAAGTTCGGCTTTCTATAGACACACTTAGTACTTGGCTCGTTCCAGACGGGGGAATCTGGGCGTACGTAAACGATCGCATCCGCCACACCGGGGTTCTTCAAGATATGTTGACCAACGTTTGTCTATGATGGTATTCAGTCAAAAAGTCAAGAGCTTATCTGGAACGCGACGCACGTTGAACTTGAAGACATTGTTCGTCTTCTGAGAAGGTCGAGAGTAGGGGCTCCCCGAAGAGGCGGCATTCCGCTTGCCAGCTTTCGCTTTACCCATGATGCCTGTAAAAACTGTCGCAGAGTAATGTTGTATTGAAGTAAATGGGTTGCTGAGGAGCAGTCGACCTCTGGCGCACGGTACCTTGGTGACAATCGGTGTCGACGAAGGTTGGGACCCTGAAATATTCGCGATGTCGAAAGTCTGCCGTAAAGATGGAGGGGCAGCCTTTTGGAAAATTTAGTGGACCCTTGACCCACTACAGCCCGTCACGACAGGGATCATGCAGCTTAAAACCTTTGGTACCATTTCAGCCTTGCGCAACCTGCACAGGGTGAGGCCGCCTCTAAATCTCATTGCCTTTCTACAAAACCTCCACAGTGCGCGCCCTATCAATCTTCCTGCCGCACCGAAGAGCCAACAGGTCAATCGTCATCATGTCCGGCAGGCGCGACTTTTTGAGCCAACCGGCTCCCGAAAATTACGTTGCCGGTCTTGGTAGAGGTGCCACCGGTTTCACGACGCGATCGGATCTTGGTCCTGCGCGCGAAGGACCAACCGAGGACCAAATCAAGGAAGCTGTCGCCAAGCGTGCAGCACAACTCGGCCTAGGCACCGAAGGAAAGAAGGCAGAGGAAAATGACGACGATGATCGGTTCAAAGACCCCGATAACGAAGTTGGCCTGTTTGCCGGTGGCGTGTACGACAAAGATGACGAGGAGGCCGACAGGATATGGCAAGAGGTTGACGAGAAAATGGCGAGAAGGAGACAGAAACAACGAGAAGCACGGGAAAAGGCCGAGCAAGACGAGTACGAACGGAAGAACCCCAAGATTCAACAGCAATTCGCGGATCTCAAGAGAGCGTTGTCGACGGTCACGGACGACGAGTGGGCAAACCTCCCTGAAGTTGGAGATTTGACAGGCAAAAACCGGAGAAGCAAGCAGACCTTGCGCCAGCGCTTCTACGCGGTTCCCGACAGCGTCATCGCTGCGGCAAGGGACTCATCGGAACTGGGCACCACCGTTGCGGATGACGGAGCTGCATCAAGCTCCGAACAAGCGGACGGCACGATGACGAACTTTGCCAAAATTGGTGCCGCAAGAGACAAGGTTCTCAAGTCCAGGCTCGAGCAAGCGTCCCAGGACGGAACTGAATCGTCAGTTGCCGGCAGCGCATCGAGTATCGACCCCAAGGGCTACATCACCAGCTTGAACAAAAGCGTCCTTAACGAATCCCAAGCTCAGGTCGGTGACATCAACCGTGTACGCGAGCTGTTGACATCAGTCATCAAAACGAACCCGAATAATGCGCCTGGTTGGATTGCGGCAGCACGCCTGGAGGAACTGGCGGGCAAGACAGTCGCTGCACGCAATGTAATAGCGCGCGGATGTACACATTGCCCCAAGAGCGAGGACGTCTGGTTGGAGAACATCCGACTTAACGATGGTAAAAATGCTAAGATTATTGCTGCCGACGCGATCAAGAAGAACGACCGATCTGTTCGTCTCTGGGTAGAGGCCATGAGACTGGAGAATGAGCCCAGAGCGAAAAAGAAAGTTATTAGGCTCGCTCTAGATCATATTCCCGAATCAGAGGCACTCTGGAAGGAAGCGGTCAACCTCGAAGAAGATCCGGAAGATGCCCGGTTGCTGCTGGCCAAAGCAACAGAGCTTATACCCCTATCCGTTGATCTGTGGTTGGCCTTGGCAAGACTGGAGAGCCCCGAAAACGCCCAAAAGGTACTCAACAAAGCACGAAAAGCAGTGCCCACGTCCCACGAGATCTGGATTGCCGCTGCTCGATTGCAGGAGCAACTCGGCCAGGGTACTAAGGTGAACGTCATGAAGCGTGCCATTGCAGTTCTGGTCAAGGAGTCTGCTATGCCCAAGCGCGAGGAATGGATTGCCGAGGCGGAGAAGTGCGAGGAGGACGGCGCCGTCATCACGTGCGGAAATATCATCAGGGAGACACTCGGTTACGGTCTTGACGAAGACGACGACCGCAAGGACACTTGGACGGAGGACGCAAAGGGCAGCATCAATCGCGGCATGTACGAGACGGCTCGCGCCATCTACTCCTATGCGCTGCGTGTTTTCGTCAACAGCAGGACGTTATGGATGGCTGCCGCCGACTTGGAAAGAAACCACGGAACGAGAGAGTCGCTGGCCCAGGTCTTGGAGAAGGCTGTCGAGGCCTGCCCCAAGAGCGAGGTGCTGTGGATGATGTTGGCCAAAGAGAAGTGGCAAGCTGGTGAGGTTGACAATGCCAGATTGGTGCTCGCCAGGGCCTTCAAGTCAAACCCGGATAACGAAGATATTTGGCTCGCTGCCGTCAAACTCGAAGCCGAGAATGGAGAGACCGAGCGCGCTCGCAAGCTGCTGGAGGAAGCTCGAGACCAGGCCCCCACAGATCGCGTGTGGATGAAAAGTGTGGTGTTCGAAAGAGTACTGAGCAACAGCGATGCAGCGTTGGATCTCGTACAACGGGCGTTGCAGTACTTCCCAGCAACAGCAAAGTTATGGATGCTCAAAGGTCAAATCTACGAAGACCTCGGAAAGGTCGGCCAGGCACGCGAGGCCTACAGCACGGGGGTCAAGGCGGTGCCCAAGTCTATTTCCCTATGGCTCCTTTACTCCCGACTGGAAGAGAAGGCTGGACTTGTTGTCAAGGCTCGAAGTGTTCTTGACCGAGCCCGACTTGCCATTCCCAAGTCGTCCGAGTTGTGGTGCGAGTCCGTTCGCATCGAAAGGCGGGCAGGCAACGTCAATCAGGCGAAGTCTCTCATGGCCAAGGCACTCCAAGAGGTGCCGAAGAGCGGACTTCTGTGGAGCGAGCAGATCTGGCACCTGGAGCCACGGACTCAGCGCAAGCCGCGGTCACTGGAGGCTATCAAGAAGGTGGACAATGACCCTATCCTCTTCGTAGCCGTGGCCCGAATCTTCTGGGGCGAACGCAAGCTCGAGAAGGCACAGAATTGGTTCGAAAAGGCGCTGGTGCTGGACAGCGACAATGGCGACACTTGGGCTTGGTATTACAAGTTCTTGCTCCAGCACGGCACAGATGTGAGTAGTCGCCTTATCGGCCATAAATTTGACACTCATGAGCTAATTCGATCCTAGGAGAAACGAGCGGATGTTATCAACAAGTGTATCTTGAACGAGCCTCGCCATGGCGAACATTGGCAGACGATTGCCAAGCAGCCCATCAACGCGAGGAAGGGGACCGAGGAAATCTTGAAGTTGGTTGCTGACGTCTTGGAGAAATGAATTGTGTAACAGCATGTACATCAAATGTCGAATTCGAGTCGGGAAGGATAGAGGAGACGAGGTCACATTGAAACCACCAAGCAAGCAGGGAATCATGTCACAACAAAGCGCCGTGGACGTCGAACAAAGTTGAAACGAGTCAATGAATTACGATTGATTCGTATTGCGACTCCCAATCCATAGCTGAGAAAGCAAACCCGATAACCATTGTCATGATTGATCCATTACATAGAAGAGAAAAGGAATGATCGCCGCCATTTCATGACATTTATTTGCCGCCGAACCAGCTGGAGATGCCGCTCTTCGCCTTGGCAGCCTCGGTCTCGACGGTCTTGTCAAAGGCGTCAACCTTCTTCAAGGCCTCAGCCTTTGCATCCTTGGCATACGCCTCGACGTTGCTCTTGGTGGCAGAAAATTTCTTGTCGACCTCGGCGACCTGGCGGGATGATCAGTCAATTGTGTTGGTCACTGGAGGGAGGGCAGAGGTAAACTAACGGCCTCGTCGAGCTTAGCACCGACTTGCGCGCCCTTGTTCTGAGCGTCGGGAGTGCGTCCGGGAAGATGAGACTTGACCTCGGCAGAGGCCTTGTGAACGTCACCTGGATAGGGCGGGTCAGTATTCAAGATACAGCCATAGCCAAGGCGATGATTCGATGAGGAAAACATACTCTCAAACTTCTTCTCCGCGGCGGTAGGGTTGCCGCCAGCGCTGTATAGGTAGTAGCCGACACCGCCAGCAGCAGTGAGGCCGAGGTAAAGAGGAGCCTTGGACTTGGACATGTTGATTGGATTTGTATGTAGCAAAGCTGATTGAGGTGAGACTTGAGCTATGATCGGAGGAAGCTTGAAGCTGTCGTCCTTGATGTGTGATTTGATTGATTGAAATAAAGAGAGGAGGAGAGAACGACAATTGTCACGAGGAAGAGCAGGATGGCATGATCTATTAGTGCCTTGCTACCGAATCACGGGCGCCGCAGCTCTTGTCTCATTCATTGCGCGGTTACACTCTTTCCCACACGCCTCCTGGCACAAATCACACCAGTGACCTGCATTACCGACGTGCACCGTCGACCTAGAGCAGGGCAAGTAGGCAAGGAACAGTTCAAGCTACGAAGGCTCCGGTTGGCGTGAAGGTGTGAGGGATACATGACGTAGAGCGGCATGAATGCGGGGAATGGGAAGTAGCTTCACCCCAGCCGCTCCTGGCCGGAAGCTCCAAATGGGGCCGGGACCACGAACTCAGTATGCACAATGCACAGGCCATCACCTTTCAGATGGGGATGCACTTGATAGTTGATACTTGGGACTCGTGCGAGAACGTGCGTGGACAGACGTACCGGTGATGTACCTCAGCAGACATGATCCTGGTACGAGTGCAGCATCCACTGGATCTCCAGCGTCACCTCAGTTTGTCAAAAGCTCCGAGAATCAGCTGTCGCTTTCGATGTAATGTTTATTCTCCTCTGCCTGTTACAATTTTTGACAAGCGCGACTGGTCATCTCGGCCGGAGCTCATGCCGGCCAAATCGGTGCCTGTGGCTTAAAAATGGTCTACGTGCTCCAGGGCCAGGTAGCATGAAAGGAACTGTTTGAGCCGACTCTCTGGCACCCAAATCGGTGACAAGGAGGCTCGACGCTCGTTGGGAAAGCTGGGGCATTGCATCATTACATCATCGCCGGAGCTGAGTACCCGCGACACCCTCTCAGGCTCCTGGACTGGCTTGCCCATGAAATGCATGAGCCAACCCGTATTCAGCTTTTAGGTCTAGGCCTCCAGCCAACGCCAACACCTCCTGCTTTCCTTCATTGCTGCTGCATCGTGCTAGCCTTGTTCAGCGTCCTCCCTTTAGCCACTGCCAGCCGATGGTGGTCTAGCCCACGCTAGGTCCGAAGAAGACGTCCCAATTGACTGACCTGAATTCCTCGCTCGTCGGGCCATCAACTTCACAGCCTCACACCGGTTTTCTCCTTCCGCCGCCTCTTCTCCGTTCCCACCTTTCGACGGGACGCCCTTGGAAACTTCTTTAGGTTGAGTACCTGGGCTCGGCACAATGTCCAGGTAGCCCAGACTGCGCTTCTGTGTCCCATCATTCCAAGGCGAGAGCCGCCGTTTAACCCCCGAGAACGAAGCTAGAACACCTCCGGCCCAGGTTTCTAAGGTAGTCTTCCCCCACCATTATCACACCCCCTTTTGCCTCCAAGGGTGCTGTTTCGGTCTCACTCCGGCGTTGAGCCCCAGGGCGTCATCAACACGGAGACCTTCTGACACCGGGTGAGCGAAGTTGCGATACAGCGATGCCATCCTTTCGAAGCTCTCGTCGGGTCACCGGCTTGAAGGATGGTGATTATGACCACGAGATCAGCTTAGTCAACCACGATAACCGCGCTTCGCCGAGCACCGAGAGCCTTAGCAGACCTCCCCGCGCGTCGACTGGTTCACAATTACTCCGTGACGAGGATACGACTGGGGGTCATGATGCGGAACCGAACGCGGACCGCGGTATGGAACACAATGGCGACCAAGATGCGAGTACGTCTGGACGCTCAGTAGAGCCAGAACAAAGTCAGCAGTCGAAAGCTACCAGGCGCCAGAGCGTTCCGACTCTCGAGCCTCAAACTACGAGGGCCACCACAGCACCGTCTATTGAGGTTGAAGGTAAGAGACTGTCGTCTACAGTCTGTGGTGCAGGTTCTGATAACGCAAACCAAAACAGAGCCCACGCCACTGGAAGGCACCATGCCCGGTAGAAGCAGTAGTCAACCACGGAGGCCGACCACCGCGGAACGGGAAACGGCCATTGACGTGCTATGGGAGAACGAGCGAGGCTGTTTTGTTTGCCGCGTTGCCCTATTTTCTGGCAAGGCTTTGGGCAACCTCGACCCTTCGCCTTGGACAAACCAGTTTCACAAGACGAGTCCTACCACGACTAAGACAGCACAAGTGCCCGATCCATCTTGGGAGTGGGCGTGGCCTGAGTGGAGGATACATCGTGAAGAAGGTGTAGCCATGGACGAGTTCGGTTGGGAGTACTCGTTCATGTTCTCGAAGAGATACTCCTGGCATGGACCGAAATGGTGGAATTCCTTCGTCCGGAGGAGATGCTGGGTTCGCAAGCGTATCAAGAAGAAGCTGGAAGACATATCGGAGGATCCGCACATGCTGAACTCTGACTACTTCACCGTCACGCCTGCCAATCACAGCCGTTCCTCTAGTGTGTCGCGCAGCCGTCGAGGAAGCGTAAGCAAGGCGAGTGTACAGACGAGTGTGGCGGAGGAGAAGCAGGATATTGAAGACGTTTGGACGCTTATGGCCGTCCTTCGAGGCTCGCGCATCGACCGCGAAAAGATTGAGGCAGTTGAGAACTACCTAGTGCACGCCAAAGACAACCTCGAGCACTTACAAGAGGAAATGCACGATATTATGGGGATTTTTGTGTTCCAGGCATCGAGGAGACTACTGCTGAGTCACTTGACCCAGATTTATGATGAAGCGGTCGCTGCAGACGAAGAGAAGCACGAAGATGCAGACAAGGCAAAAGACAGAGAAGAAAGAAGGAAACACCTCGCAGCGGCGATCAAGCATGCCGACGAAGAGGTAAAACGGCTTTCGTATTGGAGCGATGTCAAGGGACTTGCAGAGAATGGCGAGGCCAAACACGCTGTTGCAGAAGATGAAGGGTGGAATAAGGGGTGGGAGGGCGTTGATCAGAGCGGTCCTGCGCAGCCCAATTCGGGTGCCCTGCCTGGTTCACCCAAGAAGTAACAAGTACGGGGAGGTAATCATTCTTTTCATGTATACCCGACTTCACATATACAAATCTGCTAGTCATCACCTGAGGTATCCGTACCATACTCTGGGATGAGGCCCTCGTGCTACTTTCACTGAACAGTGCCAATCGTAAACGGAATGTGTCGCTCACACTGTTATCGGCCGGCAGGGGTCGTCTCGAAGCTTTGGGGCCGACAGGACCGGGATCAATCGGCGCGAAGGGGAAATTTCTCCCAAGGTAACTGGCCCACGACTTCGCTCACTGCACGCACCCCGTTGACACTCATTCCCTCATTTCGAATGCAACAGATTGCGAGCCCGCATACAACATGGGCCAGTCATAGCCAATGTCCCTGGGAATCACGCTATCATCGAGAGCCCGATCTCACTGCGTCGGCTTCTCTGGGATCTCTCCGATTTCCAGGGCTTCTCAAAGATGGTCTCGGGTGCCTCCAGCCCAACTACCACTCTCTAGTCAATGGGTGCACGCAGCTGCCGATGCAGTCGAGCCCAAGTCGGTCGAGACTTCCACGCCACGGCATCGAATCGCAGATGAAGGAGCGGATCATGGCACCAGTGCGAAGGCTACAGGCGCACACTCGGCCTATGATGCCGCCGTGAGCCCTACCCTGGAAGGTCAGACAGTCGAAGATGGGGAAACCGAGACGCCATCGACAACCGAGAAAGCGATACTGAATTACGGTCCGTATGCGAAGCAGAAGAGACCACGCAAGCCTATAAAAAGCCGTTCATCTACAAGCGCGCCGAATAATTCCAGTCAGCCTCTCGAAGGTGTTCACGTAGCCTCTCTACTCAAAGATGCCCACGGACGCAATTTCAAACAACCGAAGAAGCTCAAGAGGGGTGTTGCCTTGGGACAACCAGACTCTATACTCGTTACGCCGGTCACACATTACCGACCTCTCCGCGAAACTTTATTGAGTGCCCAGCGATACAACCGGAGCGTAACCAGGCAAATCTGGCTCGAGGCCCTCCGAGAGATCAAACGTGAGCCGATCAGCAATTGGCGCGATACTTTGGACGTCCTTCGACTGCAGACCCGTCCTGTCGTAGGGCCCTGGCAGCGTAATGCACGCAAGATCACAGTCGGGGTTGAACTCGCACATACGCTGCTTCACGATGTCGACCATACTATCTGGGATCTCAACGAACAGACGAGATGTGAAATCGAATTGCGATGGCCAAAGGACACAGACGGGACTAATATCAGCGATGTGGGATATGTTCTTCTCTCGGGTGACGAAGAGGCTTTGGAACATGCGAGTAAAGAGATTTCCAGACTTGCCGCTCAAGCCGACAGCGCGATCAGTATCGAAGGAGCCATCGGCAGCTATTTCTCTACAACAAGCTGTGACAAGGCGACTGGAATAAGAGAGGAAGTTGTGTGGGAGAGCTCCCATAAAGAACAGCGTCCGGCATATAGAAAAGAGTACGTATACAGCCAGAGATACGAAGACATCCCGAGGCCGCGAGGATGGACGCCTGATACATTTCTGGCTTACATTACCGCCATCACAAACGCCAACATGCGTGCGCGTGTGAAGTCAAGACTCTACGGCTCGGGCACCGCCGCAGACAATGCGGCTATAAGCCTACTCCACGGCGCATTCGCAGATGAGTCTGCGAGACATGCGTGGTCGAGACGTGCACTCAAACAGGCGTTGCGTTTTCTTGAGCTGCGCGGCCATTCCTACCGCAACCACGCCCGGGACCTCTTCCGGAGCCAGCTAGATGCACCCTTTCCGATGGACACTGGCGTCTTCAACATCATGTTGGAAGGTTGTGTCAAGGTGAAGGACCTCCGCAACTTTGACGACGTAGTAAAGCAGATGGTTCGGCATGGTTGTCGGCCAAACGCTAAAACCTGGGCGTTACTTATGGATTTGATCGAGAGCAAGCAAGTTCGTCAGCATGTCATTCGAATCATGCACTCACTTGGCCTCCTTTTGGAACCCTCCGTCGTGCCACTCATCGCGAAGCAACTTGTTACAAACGACATGCACCAGCTGGAACAAGACTGGCCCGGTATTCGCGTGTTCCTTCAGAGCCTGACCGCCAAGTACGGCTCGAGCTGGGCCTCGAGGTCAGTCATGCACGTAATTATGAACGAACTCGGACGTATGGGCAACTTCGCCTCATGCTGCGATCTCTGGGACATCATGACCAAGTCCCGCGACACTTTCCCCACCACGCTCACGCTCAACACGATCCTCCACCATGCGTGTGCCCAACGCAATTTCGCACTTGCCACGGCCGCTTTACAGAGGGCTCATGAGCACTACATCTTGTTGGACGAGTCATCATATCACGCGCTCTTCTCGCTGGCCTTCCGGCTCAACAGGCCCAACGCCATGGGTCTCATTTGGCGTTACGCCTGCATAGCAGGCAAAACTAGCTGGCACATGCGCAGCCGCGTCACCGACCTGCTGGCCGGCGTCGATCCGCAACTCGCCATGAAACATCACGGCAAGTCGCACCCTGGGGAATACGCCTCGCCGTCCGCCCTGCCGACCTTCTTCGACGACAGCGTAATGCCGCCGCTGCAGACCAACGGCGCCCGGATCAGCACGCTAATGTACGATTTCTTCCAGAAGGAGAAGTGGTACCCCCTGGAGCCACTCCACGAGCTCCTCCACAAGGCTTGGGACGTCGACAGTGACATTATCAAAAAAGTCAAGCAAGCCAAGCAGCAGAGCCAGCAGCAACAACAACAGCAGCAGTCTTCACCCGCCCCGCTACCGCGCACCATCACTGTACCGGGTATCAAGATGTACCTCAAGGAGCCAGCAAAGCACCGCCCGAAGAGGTTTCGTTTGAAGTTGAAGATTACGCATCTCGCACCCACGGATGATTATCAGCCCTCGTCATCTGCTGAAAGAGACGACGACGACGACGACGACACAAGGAAGACGGAAGCAAGCACCCTCCCCCCACGGGAATCAGACTCAATCTCGGCCTAGAAAAGGCAGTCCGCACAACTATTGGACTTAAAATCAAACAACTCTGTACAACAAACCTCATCTCATAGGATAGCTAGGGACGCGGGAAAAGGAATAGCCATGGAATCTGCATCTTTGATATAATTGCAGTCAAAACGACTTGCTTTCTTACACTGGCCAACGTAATGTGAGCGTAAGGTACCGTATGTATTAGTCACAGCCGTATAGTCATAAGTAGGCGACAGGGTAACTGGGCAAATTCAGTAGTTACCTACACATTTCTTGCTGTAGCTACCTATGCTAGAGACATGGAAGTAGGGTTTTCCCAAGCAAACATGTTGAAAACGATGGCGTGCATACCTCAAAGGCCAGGTGAGAAAGACATACGTCTTCCCGATATGTGGTCAACAAGGCGGTTGCAAGATTGAAAAGGGTTGATTGGGTTATGCAAATGATCATAAGCGTGACAACTAGACATGCCCGCTCGCAGGGGCTACTAGCTACAGCACGCACAGATTGAGTCTTTGGACTCTATCAACGTGCGGCCAGCCCTCCCCGTGAGCCGCCGCGACTGCTGTCCATCTCCCTCCCTAATCACAACCCTGTTAACGGCCCCTGGACACCCAACATGATGAGGAAAACAACACGAGAAACATTCAGTCATCCATTCCAACCAAGCCATTTAAAAGTCTCTCGAGCCTTCTTAAAGTCATACGGATTCGTTGAGTCCGGTCTCTTCCAGGCCAACGTGCACGCCCACATCATTCATCAAGGTATAGACAGTCGGCATCACCAGCCGCTGAGCTCACTTCTCCTTGCTCTCAATCTTCTGCGACTCCGTAGACTCAAGGACTGCGGCTGCCGGCTTTGACTCTTCTGTGGTCTTGTCCGCCGCCTTGATCTCCTCCGTCTTGGGGGCTGACTTTTCCTCAGCTTCGCCATCCTTGCTTGTTGCCGAAGAGGCCTTGGACACCTGACTCTCAAGGTCCTTGTCTTCCTCTGCGTTGTCGAACATCTCCGTGTCGTCAGAGTCGGTCAAAACCTCAGTACCATCGCCAAGGAAGATGATGCGACCCTTGTAGCCACCAATGCCGAAAGGCTTTCCCTTGTTCTCCACATCTACGTCGTAGCCGCTGTCACTGTCGTCGAAGTTGTGGTGAACTCCAGGGCCGCGGAATTCAGCTAGTTGCAAGTGATGGATCAGCGCTCCTCCTTTGGAAAGAAATTATGGGACACAAAAACAAACAATGGCTACAGAAAGGGGGATAATGGTTGTATTAAGGGGATAGAGAGACACGTCTCATGACGGTGCGGACGGAGGTCGGCGCGCGCTCAACTCCTTAGGAAGATGTGGATTCGGACGTGGATTCAGTCGTACCGTATTCGGGAGGGGCGCAAGGTCCGTCTCCAGCAGCAACCCGCTTGGCAATCTCCTCATACCACTCTTCCTTGGTCTTGCCGCGCAGAAGGCCAATGATGCACATCGTCATGTTGTCGCAGCCAACACCTCCGGTCTCCGAGTTGGAGGCCAAGCAGTTGTCCATCATGTTCTCGCAGATCTTCTCCAGCTCCTGCTTAGCCGCAATGCCACGACGAACAAACTCGACAACCGCCTGAGAGGACTGGCAATCCCAGATACCTGAAGATCATGTCAGCCTATGCTTCTTTGTCTACCTCCGGCGCTTCCTGCTTACCGTCGCATGCGATGACCAAAAACTCATCGTCGTCGCTGATTTCGTGGGTCTCGACGTCAGGGAAGGCGGTGACGATCTGGGCCTCGGGCGAGAGCTCTGCGCTCTTCTTGAACTCGAAGTCACCAATGGCGCGGGAGAGAGCAAGATTGCCGTTAACACGGCCAAAGTCGACGAAGCCACCAGCGGCTGTGATGCGGGACTTCTCGGCTATACGGGGGATGCAAGTCAGCCTCAGGGAGTTGCCTTTGCCTTGACCTAGTACTCACCCTCGAGCTGGGGCTTGTGGTCCTGGGACAGGGGCTTAGCCCGTCCCTTGATACCAAGAACGCTTCTCGAGTCGCCGGCGTTTGCCTAGTCGCGGAAAAGTCGGTAAGTAATGCGAATACATCGCGCATTTAAAGCGGACGTAAGCAAACTCACAACATAGATCTTGTTGTCCGAGATCAGGCCAACGCAGGCAGTGCAGCCAGAAACCTCCTCCTCGTACTTGGGATCTGAGGTAACCGAGTATTAGCTCACGTATCCTGCGTAGGGGGCAACGAGTAGTGCAGTCCAAAGTCGTAGCATGACTTGGCCTCCAAAAGCTGCCGGAACCGAGGTCGAGGCGTTACCGTTGAGAATCGCCCGATCCGTTGCCAAAAAGCCATCCTTCAACGCTTGTTCGTAGTTGCCCTTCTTGAAGGTTTCCTGCTTCTTGATGATCTCGTGAATGTTCTCTCCAGCGAATAAGGCCACTTTATCGCCGCCATGTCCGTCAAAGACTCCAAAAAAGGAGAGTTTTGACTCGTGTTTCTTGGCTTCGTCGCTGCCGGGGGGAAGAAGGTCGAGGACGGTAATGTGAGCATCCTCCATGCTTATGCGCCAGCCCTGCATGGCAGAGACGCCGTAGAGGAGGCGCTCATCTTCGCCCTTGGCCGAGGACTATAATTATCAGGTGCGAGGTCAGTGGGTTGGATGAGGGTGAGTTTAAATGTAAGGATACGTCATCGGGTGGACATTGCTGCACCAAATATCCAAGCCACCTTGCTATATCGCCTGCCCGCGCGATATCACGGGTGTGAACGACCACGGCAAGCCGGGGTTTGGAGGGGACCCCGAGGCTGGCCGTGATCGAGAAAGAGGAGGGAGGGTAGAAAGGAAGCGGAATGGGTGGGAGGGCGTAATGATAGGCAGAGCAAGGCAACGCAGCGCGTCAAGAGAGGTGAGCGTGGCAGCAGATCATGACATACCTTCTCGACGACGGGCTCGGAGAGAGTTTGACCCATGGTGACGGATGCAATGAGTCGGCAGCACAGCTACCGGGGTTGATGGGATGTTTGGTCGGGTCAAATTGCGGTCGGAAGCGCAGGTCGGTATCGTAGCCAGAGGAGAGAAAATTTCAGAGCCAGTCGTGCGTGCGCAAGAAGGCTGAGGAAAAAAAAGAGGCGAGGTGAAGGGAAGGTGGTGCGGTAGCAAAAGGTTCTAGATCGCGCACACTCGACAGGAAGCGGGGTATCCGAATCGCAAGGGAAATGGCAGGGGATAGGCGTCGATCCCTGAGAGGCGTCGAGTCTGCTATCACAGGTAGAGAGGCTCGAGTTCGGGGAGGCGGAAAGCGAAGAAATTGAATGCGCGAAAAAGGCGGAGGAGAGAGGGAGAAAGAAGGAAGGGAAACAATGACCCGAACTCAATCGTAGCTCGGTGAGGGTGAGATTGTGAGTAGGAAAAGTTTTCTGTATTGGTGGTAGGCCGGGTCGCGTGTTGTTTGGTGAGTGGTGTGTGTATGGGAAGGTAGTGTGCGGTAGCGGTAGCGGTAGAGTTGCTGTGCGATACGGACTGGAAGGCGCAAACAACGCAGGACAGGACGGGACGGGACAGGACAACCCAGCTGCGGACACGCTGGGGCAAGAGTTGCTTGGACTGAGGTGACTCCAAGCCTGGCGGGGAGGAGGTACGTACTGCCGTCCACGACCACGACAATTCTACATACCTACCTCCTTACGGATACCTACTACGCACCCAAGTAGGGTAAGGGAAAGAGCCAGTCGTGCGTATCCGTTGGAAAGGCCAGTTGGCGACGGGGCTGTGAGGCGAGCTTGGGTACAGAGGCCACGCTAGGCACTTTGCTCTGCCAGTATTACTGCGTCTGGTTGGGTCTGCGTCTGCGTCTCCCTCGGCCTCCACTGCCTTGCACCAACAACAACCAAACGTGTACGAGGAAGTCGGTCACATTACCATGTCTCCTCAACTCAGTCCCTCTCACCAACAGGGTATCTGATCTACCTTGAGTTACCTTGGGCAGCTGTAAGAATGGGCACGTTCGCGAGGAAACGTTTCACCGAATGAACCAAGTTGACCCGAGGTTCCAACGAGCCTCACAACACTGATTTGACAAAGCAAACTGCATAGGTAGCCAATCCAAAGACCAACCAACAACAGCATCCGGCCGGAGCGTGTTTTTCACCTCTCATTCTCACTTGCATATTCGCCCCAGGCCTGGCAGCGGGCAGCCCAGCCAATGGCCAGGAGGCACATTAAGCCCTAGCAGAGGCGGCAAGTGCAAAATTCGTCGTTTTTCCCAATTCCGAGCTGTGAGAGACAAGCAAGGTTCGCGTGCCACGGATCCGATACGGAACGACCTGCTGGAAGGAGACGACTTTTTCTGCAGTTGCGTCATATCCGACGTTGTGAGCTTACCACAATCAACCTTTCGTGTCATACTACCTAGGTAGGCATGGGATTGAGTCTACCATTTACCTCTGTCAGTATCTCCATTAGGCTCTCGCCAAAGGTAGTCTGCCAAATTTGTAAAGTCCACCCCCTAACGAGTTTCTGCAAAGTTTGGAAATCTCCGTTGAAGCTCTCCGTGAGCACCTAAGGTAGTAAACCATGACCAAAACCGTCAAGTGGCACAGACTTTCATCACCGCGTTGAGTCAGGTCGAGTCAAAAGCCAACCAACCCACCTGCCATATCTAAGGCATTGCACGGTTCTCATGCAAGGGCCCCCTCTCCCGCCCCTCTCTACCTATCGTCAAAATAAGACGAATCCCATTTCCCCCTCCCCCTCATCGCCTTCTCTCTCACATTGTTGCCCCCCCCCCAGTTCCCTTCTTAGCCCAAGCGAAGCAGACATAAATGGGTGGGAAATGAGGTCCAAGCTCTCTTCCTGTCGCCTCGGGAAATCCGATCTATACTAGAACTATGGTCAACCTCAGAGAGCGCTTTCCCTAGAGTACTCATCCAATCTAAGGTCGAAGCACAGGGAAGCGCGGGGGGAAGGGGGGGATGCTGTGCTCCACTTCGAGCGACTTACTATGTAGCTAAGCCCGCCCATTTTGCTGAACATCTGCCAATTGGTGCCGCGGCACAAGGCCCTTTGTCAAGCCTTTTCCCGAAGCACAGAAATAATAGAAGAGAGAAAAAAGGGATCTGCCCTCTCAGACAAACTTTTGTGGCATCGCCAATTCAACATTACGGTCTGGGTATCCCTGGACAGGGTTGTGGGTGGTGGTTCATAACCATACCAAAAATTACTAGATCCTCATGTCTCCCCCATGTTCCATCATCGAAAATAAAAATAGAAAAATGGGACCAAACCAAGCAAAACACTTGAGCAAGCGACTTTGCTCGGACGGGTATAACAAAATCGCAAAGATGCTTCTCAACGAGAGACAAGTATATCGGGGGCGACGAGGGGCATCCTCGTCCCTTTTCTCACATGAACACACGGAAATCCTCACTACTGCTGTCCCGCCGACTCCGAGGACCCTTATTCCCCACTGTTCCGGCTTCCGTCACCCAGCCAGAGCCATCCGACTCGGGTCCCAACGAGTATTGCGCCAACCCTTTACCCTTGCCCAGCACTTCACTGCTTGCCCTCGACGATGCATAGCCGGGGCGGTTCCCAGAACCACGTCGCTGCATAAGAGAGTCTCCGTTCCAGCGTCCTGCCATGATGTTGGAGCTGGATGATGATTGGCGTGATAGAGGTGTTTGCTTGCTTACCCGGCTGTCCCTGTTCACCGGCCCGCTCGAGTCCTTCTTGATGATGCTGAGGGGTCGAGGAGACAGCGATGGTGTGTGCCTCATGAAAGGAGAGCTTCGAGTCAACTCCTCATAGGCGATGCCGAGCGAATCTCTCGGTGGTATAGTTTGCCAGTTCTCCGTCCCCCTGGCCGACTCCAGGGAATCAGAGTCGTCGCTATCCAAGATGTACCTGTTGCGCGACGGGACGACCGACCGGCCGCCGAAGAAGGGACTCGAATCGGATTTCCTGCTGATGGGCCGTGACACCGAACCGTGACGCGAATCCGGCCGTGAATCCTGCCGCACGAACCTACCCCTCCCAGATCCCGACCTAGAGCTGCGGAGACTGCTTTGTGACCCTAGGTCGCTCATGACAGGGAACGCTTTCCGTGGTCGTTGCGAGGGCGAGAACCTATTCCCGTTCGTGGGGTTCGATCCCAACGGCGTTGGCTGTTCCGGGATCGATGCCAGACTGTCGGAACCAGAAGCACCGGGTAGCATCTGAGACCTGTCGAGGGTCAACCTGGAAGGCTCTCCCCACGGGCTCGTATAAGCCAGGTCGGGTGTTGCTTGGATACTGCTCGTCTCCGCATTTATAGACGGAATGGTGACGTCCAGCACGCTCCGGAAAGAATCGTCCCGTTGGCCCTGGAGAAAGCCGGAGGACCCAGATAATACATCACTGGGCCCGTCGTAGGTGCTCGTCGATCCCTGCTGCGTGTGCTGGGGGTGGAACAGGACGCCCTCTGTAAGCCAAGATGAGGTGACGGACGGAGACCTTGGCGTTGGGCTTCTTTCTGATCCCCTCCAGAGATATGATGAGCGGTTGTTCGTGTTTGCCTGTGACATGCGAGAGCCGGTAATGGTCGAAAGCGTCCTTGACTGTCTCATCTTTTGTATAGCAGAGTTGAAGTACCCCCTGCTGCGCCGATTGTCTTCAGGCTTCTTCATATCCCCAACCGACGATCCATCTCTGCTATGAGTCCCTCCGTTCATAACGAAAGTGCCAGGGACTGGCTCCGATATGCTATTTTTGAGGTTTTCGTGGATCGATTCTCGTTGTTGCCTCCTTCTCCGACAACAGATTATCAGCAGAACTAGAATGGCGAGAAAGAGGAGCGGCAGTAGGATCGCAAGGGCGATGTAGCCAGCTTTTAGGCCTTGTTGCGGATCGCTTGTAGGTGCGGGATTCGTTGGCTTTGTAGAGGATGTGGGAGAATCCGTAGTGGTAGTAGCAGGCAAAGGTAGGACCTCCAAGTCTGCGGTCGCCGTCTCAGTCTCCTCTGAGCTTTTTGATGTCGCCTTGACGAGGACTGTAATATTCTCTGGGGACGTAGTCTTGGGCGGCATCCCTGATATGACCAAGCCGTCGACATTGACCCAATCTGCCGAGGTTTCGATACTTAAATCTATGTCTGAAGGTGTCCAGAGAAAAGGCTCCACGTCGAGTGAGAAGTTGTTTCCTGGCGTCGCTTCGATGCTCAAATTGGTGTCTCGAAAGATTCGCGTCACGAAGAATACCGACAGGACAATGTCAAGAGCATCGGAGTATACATCCCGGATAGTGAGCGTAGAGTTTGAAGATTTTGCATCGTCAGGGGGGTTGCCCTGGATCTCGAATGTACTATTATTGACCAAGAGCCAGCTTGGAAGTCCGGATACGCTGAGGCTCAGGTCGGCTGGCGTGGTGGCATTCCCATCCAGTTTGATACTGCCGGCTAGTGCTGTGTACGACACATTTGTCCCCCGCGTTGCATTGATCTCGATGGTGGGCGTGTCTGTTGTCAATCTATGGGCGCCGACGACGATAGAAAACACAACGGAAACCGCCGAGAATCCGACAATATCAGAACCAACGAGGCTGAAGTCGAATTTCTGGGGCGGCTGGACGAGAGACTCGAAAGGAGGCGTTTTCCCGCTGAATGTAAGGCTGCCGGCATCGAACTTAATCCACGAAGGTAGGGGGCTGCTATCCGCTGAAGTGGCGTAGTAGTTCAGTCCGTCCCCAACATAGGAGAACGTATCCTTGGCGAATGTGAAGGAGAAGTCGGACGCGGGATACGCCACGACGGCAGACGGCGATGATGTATCACCAAAGCTCTGGATTTGCTCTGAGAGCGGTATATTGAGCTTGGGTGTTGGTCTCCTCGTCACCACCAGAGTGGCCGTCATCGTCGCAGACCCAGAATCGTCCGTCGCAACAATATCCACCGGGATGCCCACCACTTCCCCAGCTGGAACATCTTTGTCCTTGGGCGTTCCAGAGAGACGGCCGGTGTTGGCATCGATCGATAGCCATGCCGGCGAGTTTAATAGGCTGTAGGATAGTCGAGACGGGGAAGAAAACGTCTGAGGTGAAAGAGTGTACGAAAATGGCTCGGATATCCTCGTCGCAGGTGGGAGCTGAGAGTTGAATGGGAAGTAAACGACTGGTACGGCTCCTGCAAGCGCAGCTAAACACAGGAACACGCACAGCATCACGTACGTTGCCATGACTGATGCGTTGTACGAAAGGAGCGGCATCTGCGAGCCAGAGGAGCGGAAAACAAAAACAAAATCAAGCAGAGAAGGGCATATCAGACAAAAGGTTATCTCATCGGAAACGAGAGAAGCTTAGGACATTGCCCGTAGAGGATATCCCCGGCGCGAATCTCGTGGTCCATGGCTCTCATTTTCTGGTGCTACTTATCTCCCTTCATGCCAGTGCTCGCGCCCTGAGAAGGGATTCGCGGGTGGGCGCGTCCTGCCCAAGCTGCCGCCCTTCCATGTGGTCAGTCAATGGAGGGTACTAACTACTTCACTCGAAGAAGCAATCGTTTCAGCGTGGCAAAGATTCACTTGTCATACTGGGAGTGTTAGAAGGCGACTAATTGAGTACTGCATTCCAGCGGCGGGTTGAAGCCCTTCAAGGGTGTGTTGAGGAAGGGTAGGCCCTGAGGCAGAGAGGGAGGCAGGATGAGACATGTCCACTCGGAACGTGCGCTTCGACGAGGTTCGGAATGCAATAGCTGTGTTTTGTGGGTTAGATCGAGAGTCGATTAAACGTCCGTTGGTTTATATTGAACGGAACATTCGTCAAGCTTATTCGGTCTCTTCCTTCACAGGAGGGGAAGATGGTGTAATTGGGAATACTTGGGATGAAGAGGTAAGGTAGGACAGGTGTGGTTCGTGGTGTATTAGGTAAGCACGAAATCGCACTACAGGTATCGGGGCTCGGGAGTCCGACGAATTCTCCTTCCGATTTACACCCGCAGCACAGTGAGGCTCAAATCGACCGTCGTTGGTAAATCAAATTGGAAAGAGCGGAGAGCGCAGGACCCTGAACAGGGTTGAAGCAAAAAGTGCGCAGAGAGGAAGGGGCAACCCCGCTTGAGGCAAAACGAACCTCCCCTTATCGGGAAGTCTAGATTGTCGTCGACCTCAGCCAAACGAATTTTGAAATAAAATAAAAATAAAATACCATCCAAAAAGGCCAGCAATACCGCTCTTCCGTGCCTAACTTACTCACGTTGCCTACATTACCTACCTTGTCTGCATCTAGCCTCCCGGATTTGCACCTTTTCGGACACTCACTGCCTGCCCAAGAGAAAAAAGCATCGCTGAGCCGCTTGTGTCACCGTGTCGTCAGTGAGCTCACTCTGGTTTATTTTCCGTGCGCTCCCTCAGCTGCTTCACACACAATAAATAGCATTATGCGGATTCTCAACAACCCCCTCATACCAGAGAAGATGGAGTCACCTGATCGCTCTCCCTCACCCCAATTTTCGCCCTTGGCCATCGGCGAGGACTTCACACCGCTCCCTACCTACAAAGCCGCTACCACGTCGGCCTATGACATGTCCGGCCTGCTGTCAACTCCCCTTCAACTCCACGAAGATCTCACCTCTGGATGCGGCGGTCAAACCTGGCCTGCAGGCATGGTGCTTACAAAACACATGCTGCGGTACCATCGGGAAAATCTGAAGGGCGCCAGAATGTTAGTCACTATGCCATATTTGCTGCATCGTCTGCAACTCTTCTTGTCCTCGGAGTCTGCCATGTTCTACCACTGATGCATACTATGCACCATGATATTGAACGTAGTCCATGCGCCGTCCTCCCAGAAGGAGACTGGGGATTCTATTTTGATGGACTGAGCTGACTCGGGGCTTTTCGGAGCCAACAGACTTGAGTTGGGCGCTGGCGGCGGGCTCGTGGGACTGGCTGTCGCCTTAGGTTGCGAACTGCAGGAAACGCTGTACCTCACGGACCAGGACGAGATGTTCGAGCTGATGGGACGGAACACCAAGTTGAATGGCCTCGAAGACAAAGTCAAGCCTATGATCCTGAACTGGTTAGTAATTCACCCCCAAGTTGCTCGATTCTAGCCGTGCGCATCCTTCCCCAGAGGTCCTGTCTGGGGAACTTGGACGCAAAGGGTGTAAAGGTGACTACGTGCACGGTAGCCTAGAGCACTTTGAGACCCTCGAGGACCTCGAACGGAATCACAACCAAGCGATCCACGTCTGAAGCTGTTCTTCTGCAGGAAGCTCGAATGGACTCGGGCTACCGTTCGGCTGATGTACGAATGACTGATGAATAGTACAGGGGCGGGCCGCTATCTCAAGAGGTTGTCGATTTCAAGCCCAACGTCATCCTGGCAGCCGATTGCGTCTATTTTGAGCCGGCCTTCCCACTGCTGTTGGAGACTCTGACGAACCTGTTAGCCTTGGAACCTGACGCGATTGTCTACTTCTGCTTCAAGAAGAGGAGACGCGCGGATATGCAATTTCTCAAAAAGGCACAAAAGGCGTTCCTGGTGACGGAAATTGTCGATGAAGACCGCCCTGTCTTCAGCAGAGAGGGTCTGTTCCTCTACACATTTGCAAGCAAGAAGCCGACTTTAAACGGCAACCGAAAGTGACAAGCTTTGACGTGACCTTCTATGGCAAAACATTCCCGAGAGTGGTGGGCAGCAAAAATCCTCGGCCATGGAGTCGTTAGGCACGCCCAAGCATGAGAGCTTTTTTTTTTCTCGATCCAAGAGATTCTTGCTGGACGATGGCACGTCTGCCAAAGCACTCGGGACAATGGGTCGGCACATATGTGGAGGAAGTCAGACAGAAAGCTCAAGTTGGCGCTTGGCGACGACGCGGATATCTCGGAAATCGTCACTATGGTGTCCAAGTGGCCCACCAAACGACACAAGGGTAGAAGAGCCGGGCGATGGCCAACTCAGCACTTGATCCTCTGGTAGCATGCCGGCCAGCAAAGACCAGCTTGCGGCTTTTCGAGTGGATAAACTTGAGCGACGGCGACTACCATGTATGTTCCGGAATTGCGTCAACAGCAACGACGAGCAGCAGGGAGCTCCATCCGTGTCGTCAGCGAGATGAGGAGTACGCTATCAATAACAATATAAAGCATTTCATCAATGCACCATTAATATCTGTAGTCCACACGCCATTTTGATCGACAGGAACGGTGGAGCCAATGGAGCGGGAGACAAAAACTATCCGAACTGAGAGGTTCGACGACTTGGCATAGGCCATCACCATACGCTATTATTACGTGACCTGTCCGAGAGCATGAAGGATGATGAGACACAACAGCTGCTGTGGCCGATGTTGATTTCTCATGTCAAGTATTGCAAGGTCGGCGTCCAGCTCGCCGGCGATGGGAGCGAAGGTGTGAGGGGTTTTCTTCCCACGTTGACCTCCTCCGGTCAGCTGCAGGCCTGCTGCAAGCCCTTAAAGGGTCCATCCAGTGAGCTTTCAGAACAGAAAATCTCTGCAGATTTGGCGCTCGTGCAACATGGTTCGACGTGTTAGAATATCCACCGACTACTGCAGGTTGGTTGGCAAGGCCGGAAGCGGCAGAATGGGTCAAAAGGGGTTTCACGAGAGGGAGAAGGAAAGGGAACCAACAGAAACCGCTCCCCGGCTCGCAAGAGTTCGCCCAGTGGTTCACTGATGTGGCACTGCCTGAGCTGGCTGATCGTCCGGGATCAGAGCCGGGCCAGGGGGTCAGACGGGCTATGAGGGTCGCGCTGAGAGGGGGGCTCGAGGCAACATCTAATTGTGATTGGCGCGTACCTTGCAGCTGCAAGGAACCCGTGCAGGCTGAGTTTGCTTAGGCGTCGCCTTGTTCCGTTCTATTGTTGCGTTGCATCGCTCCTGTCTGTTCGTTTCTCTCTACCATTTTCTTTACCCCTTCCGTCCTTCCCCTATTTCCTCAGGCATGAGCGAGCTGGATTCTCGAGCGTTCTACCACTTGCTCTATCCTCTTCTCTCAACCTGATGTTTCAACAATGGCCCTCGTTACTGGCCAGAATCTCAGAAACAATCCACTAATACGCTGCAGTGTGGTGCCAACCTACGCTCATGGGGGCAGCCGCGGCGTGGCAAGGTGACATCCTCAAGTTCTCGACAATTGTTTCTCAATGTTTCCATGAGCGTGCGGTCTGTTCAATGTTGCATCACAGCCAGTCGCCATGGCGCTGGCTCATCCGACTGAAAAGAAAAAGAAGAAGAAGAAGAAGAAGCACTGGAATATTTCCCGTCTTTCCAGCTCGGCAACGAGCCGTCCACATTCCAGCAACACGTCGCAGGCCTCCGCGCAGCACAGAGTACCCTGCCGAATGTGCGCAAAGATCGGCGGTTGACAAACAGATACCCGTCTTTGGCCCCCGGGAGCCAACGACTGATCGTCATTCTTTCACAGCCAGGATTCCTAAGGAGGGTGTTCAAATGGTGTTCGGACCCTGCTACTGCCTGCCCCCTGGGACTGTCGACTAGCGAAAAAAAGCTGGAGCCCTCTTCCCAGTTTCCGCGTGTTTTCAAGGAACAAGCACCTGTTCGACGGTTCGTCCAATCATGTAATGCCGGGGAAGGAAACAAGATGACAATGTGACAAGCGACAAGCAAGTTGAACAGAGAGATTTGAGTCCGTGGAGAAACGAAGCGAAAGGTTGGACGAGCGGGCAATAACAAGGACAAGGGGCGGAGTAACTGGGGGCAAGGAGGTGTGTACGAAACTACGAATAGTTGAGGCTTTTACCCTAGGCATCAGACGTCTGCCGCCACGAAACAGCAGAGCACGTCAGCTATCGGTAGGGTCCCCCAGACTGGCAGACACATGTGATGGATTCAAGACTTGGTTAGGTGATGCTTGCTGACTTGGCAAAACTTGACGACTTGGGCTATATTCTGCCCCCGAATTCCAGTATCCATGGCCTGCGCCTCGCTGCCCACCTCGTGTTTCCTAATATCCTTTCCACTTCCCGACAATCCAATGATAGTATGTACGCCGTATTTCTATACGACAATGGTTTCCTTCCAAGACGAGTCTCAACGTTGCTGGTTCAATGACTGGCCAGAACGAGTGAGGGCTTACGTTTCCTCGGCACCCAGTTCCGGTTGTCTGATGTCGGAGTAGTCTGCAGTAGTTCGCCCTGCTTGCCCTGACTAACGACTTGACTTCCAGACAATGACAGTTTTGGGGTCCTGGGGGTTAGGCGAACGGCCAGCAAACATGGGAATGGTGGATCGATCGAGCCTTGCTGGAGGGTCAAGATGGGCCACGCCCGAATCAAACAGTCGAGTCCATCCCCGCCAGAAATGGCCCGAAGCACGTATTTTTTTTTCTTGCGCGGATTGTTTCTTGGCGGACCGGTGCCAACGATACAGCGAGTAGGTAGGCCAAGAGGCTGCGCTAACGCATCCAACGGGCTATTCTCGCACCCCCTTGGACCGTTCAAGTTAGGATGCTTCTTCTGTCTTGGTACGTTCTTTTTTCGGACGTCCAGCGGTGCCAGCCCAGGGCAGGCAGGCTAGCAACAGTTGCCGTCGACCAGTGACGACTGACGACTCGGACGGAGAACGCAGAGAAACTACCTGGGCCAGGGGAATGGGTACCATGTGTAGGAACGGGCCACCAGTACGGAGTACCACAGGGTTCTTCCTTTGCATCCTGGGCTGGTCCATCTTGGTGACTGGCCCTCCTGGCCTTCTTCCACGCCATCAGTGGAGGACTGCAGTCATCCCCCCACTTTTGCTCTTTCTTCCCTCTCGGGGCTTTTGCGACTTCTGTAGGACGCTACCCGTCCCTATGGTGCGGCCTGGACAGCGCTTCCATGCTCTCTAAGGTAAGGTACCGATGGCACCGTCAGCACCTCACTCGTCACCTGGTTGGGCGAGGTGGTGCCAGCACTAGCATGGACCTGCAGGCCTCCTCCACCCCGCACACCCCCTAAGCCCTGCTTTCCGCGCCCCCTTCCCACCTCGGGCTCGCCCAGTCTCGCCAGTCCCGGAGTGGTTCACCTGTGCCTGGTTGCTCTCCAGCGTCGTGTTTGTGTCTGCCCGTCGTCTGGTGCAGTTTTGCCTGGCATACAAATCCCGGCCGACCTCCGCCACCAGCTCGTGCAGCATTTTTTGATCTTTCCTTCTTTCCTCTTCCCTTCATCCAACAACGCTCCCTCTTGTTCGACCAAACCCATTCATTCATTTTCTTGGACCCTTGAGCAGTGCTCGACCAACTATCAGTCCTACCAATTCATTCCTTCAAAGAAGACTGTTTCGAGGCTCATCCAAACTACCAACCAACGGATTCATCCCGTCTTGTCGCACAGAGAGTTCAGGGAACTCCCTTTTCATCCAAACTCTACAGAAACAGCCTGCCAACAAACATCAAGTGCATCAAGCACATACCAAGACCTGCTCCGAGCTCCCATCGACAACCTTGAACCCAACCAGGCTTCCCACGCTGTAGCAAGCACAATCCCTGATCGAGAGGCTTAGCCCACTACATTCATTTTCGCTTCCAACTCCACCTTGACGGAAAGGACGATCACCACTATACTGCGTATCAAGAGGCCGTATAAGTCTCTTGAATACCACAACCCAAAATCACTTCGACTATAAATCCACAGACTTCAACAAGCCAATATGAAGACCGCCGCCTTCTTCTGCGCCGTACTAGCTACCACTGCCATTGCCCAGCCCCATCAGCATGGAAGCAAACGCCGCCATGTCCACGGCAAGCACCAGAAGCGCGCTCTCGTCACCGAATGGGTTACCGAGATCGCCTACGTGACCGAATGGGTTGACTCAACCGCCACCGTCTGGGTTGATCCCGATGTCTCGTCTACCAGCTCTGCGCTTCCTACCACTTCCGTGCCCGCCCGGTTTTTCGAGCCCGCCAACCAGCCGTCTTACACCACCTTGTCAACCTCCACGAAGCCTTCGGCCGTTGCTTCCCCCGTCAATGAGATCCAGGAGCAGGCGCCCGCCCCCGCGCCTACCCCTTCCACGTCTACGCCCGCCCCTGCTCCCCAGACCCCGACTCCCGAGCCCGTCCCGACTTCAACCTCTCTCTACGTTGCTCCCCCGCCCGCTCCCCCGCCGGCTTCTTCATCGTCCACTACTCCCGCGCCCGCTCCTCAGCCTACTACACCCAGCCAGGCCGCACCCTCGAGCACTTCCGCTGCTTCTGGCGGCTCCGGTGGTGGCTCCGGCGGCACCTCGTACACCGGTGACCTGACTTACTACACTGTTGGTCTTGGCGCCTGTGGCGAGGACGACAGCGGCAAAGACAACTCCGAAAACATCGTTGCCGTCTCTTACTTGGTCATGGGTTCCCAGTCCAACGGTAACCCGTATTGCGGAAAGAAGGTCCAGATCAGCGCTAATGGCAAGACCACCACCGCCACTGTCCGTGATAAGTGCATGGGCTGCCAGGCAGATGCCATTGATGTCAGCGAAAAGGCTTTCCTCGACATTTTTGACAGCCTCGGTGTTGGTCGCGGAACAGTCGAGTGGAAATTCCTTGACTAAGCGGCGCAAGGGTACCCGCGCTCTTGCTCCAGCCTCAAAGGCCGTCCGGGGTGTTCTTAGAGTGCTTCATCGCCTATGGCCATGTCGCTTCCCAGTGGAGGTGCCGCATCGATCACCCATCATGGCATTTTTTCAAGACGGCCATTTTTCACTCGATTCTCACTACCGAAACTGGTTATATCTACCTGAAACCCCCTCTTCCATGGGGACGGCGCCTGGTTCACAGTACGGGACTGGATTGGATAACAACAGGACAACGAACAAAACTGCGGTTTTGATGACATGATGACGAATATCTCTATACCCGTGGATGCGTATCCTATTCTTCTCGGGTCCATCATGGGCGGATGCATTTGGTGTTCTGTTTTTATGGATATGCATGTCCAACGGTCAGCTTCTAAACCTAAATTTCAATGTATATATCTATTAGGGGTATCGCTACCATGTGTCACTCCCGAATGGGCTACTTGGACCAAAGCGGTTTCCAGAACCAAGATGAATTAAAATGAAAAACCCCGACATTGGAACTCGATCCACTCCGTACACACCCACCATTGAACTTTCTTGGATAATCGGTCGCGTGACTGACCTCTGCAATGTCTTGACATTCTCTGTGTCTAAGAATCCTCCAAAGTTTCCTTAAACGCAATGGGACTGGTGAAAATGCCACTACGCAAAGAGGGGCAAACAGCCTCCCACTGGTTCGCAAAATGACAAAGTCGACATTCCAACGGCCTGCTCAGGTGACGCTGAAAGAAAAAAAGCAATTCAGCCCAGCCCGACAGAGAGATTCTGCATTGCATCTGTTACCGTGGCTGCATGAGTCATCACGCCGGTGTCAAATTACGCCGCCGGTTGTCAGACTCCCTGTATCATCAGCAAACAGCCAAAGAAGTACCCAAAGAGACCTAAACGTAATCCAGATTAAATTGAAGACATGGAGAGGGAGAGAGCTGTAGTATTTTTTGTTTGTATTCTAGAAAACAATTCTCCTCCTTGACGTGAAAAGGGCAATTTTCTCCAAGGGGGCTCATAAAAACCGGCGGGCCTTTTTTTGTATACCCCTGCGTGGCCTTCTGGATTCTGGAGTTTGCGGAGGCGTGTCTTGGATTGGAATCTGTTTGTGTATGTCTCGCCCCGCAACGATCCGGATCGCCCTGGGCCAGTCCAGCGAGCCGGCCGTCTAACATTCCTCGTTTCGTTTTGCCCCTCGCCCCTCGGAGCGCCTCTCTGGAGTCCCTGGGTGAGGCTTGTTCCACGAAGCGCAAGACAGTCTCACCTCTGTCTACCGCATTCTGCCTTCCCCCGATTTCTCGGTTTGCTGAGGGAGTATTCCACGGTTGAGTGATTGTTCGTTGGACTGGCAGGTGAAAACTGGATGGTCTCATCATCGATCCAAAATGGGGCGCGGACTCTGGCCCGCAGTGGCAGTGAGTTTGGCTAGTAAGGGTTGCGGGCAGTAAGAAAAACAAAGTCTTCGAAAACCATCGTCCATCGTTGACAATCTACAACAAAAACATATCCAAATCGTCCATCTCCTTGATGGAAGGCAGAGCCCTCGCCTTCTCGGCCCTCTCCTCACTGACCAAGAACTCGGTCGGAGGCTCTTCGTCGTCGTCCCCGCCGCCGCCTCCGGCTATCATCATGCCCGCCACCGCCCGCCCGCACAGCGCGGCCTGCGGCATTCCATGACCGGTATACCCGGCACAGACCCACAATCCTTCCCCGCCGCCGAGGACGGAGCCCGGGGGTACTTGTCCGACCCACGGCCGTCCGTCGCGCGAGAAGGCCATGATGCCCGTCCATTCGTGACTCGCCTCTAGTTCCTTCTTGCTGCTAGTGCTGTTGCCACCGCGTCCTTCATCTTGCATTCGCCCCGTCCCCGTCTCCATTCCCGGCCCCACTGCAGCGGCAAGGTCGAGATTCCTCGCCCCCGCTTGCCTCAGATACGAAGCGACAACAGGATCAATCTCGTCATCATCCGAGATTCCCACCCCGCGCAACGTACCCCGCGCCCGCCCGCCGCCCAGTATCATCTCTAAACCCGGTCCGGGCCGCTGGATGAGGTAGTCGTCCTGGTTCGGCTCGCCCCGTGCGGCGTCGGAGCTCGCCATGAAGACGTAGGCCGTACCGAGCTCGGGGCGCGGGCGGGGAGGTAAGAGGGCCGCGACTTGCCCGCGGACAGGGACGATCAGGTCCGCAAAGCGAGGGAGGAGGCGCGAGGTGTAGGCGTTGGAGGCGAGGAGGACTTGGGCTGTGGCGATTTGGCCGCGTGGCGTGTGGAGGATCCATGACGCTGCGTCTGACGATGTGGCGGGGGGCAGGTGTTGGAGGCGGGTTACTGGTGTGCAAGTCTGGATGTTGAAGCTGCTGCTGCTACTGCTGCTACCTTTCTTGTTGCCCGACGACGACTCGGGCTCGGCCGCACCCTCGACCCCGAACCTCCGCAGCAGGTCCTCAAAGATCCACGCGACAAGCTTATACGGCCACACACTCGCCGCCTTCTCCTGCACGACGGCGCCCATGGCGTCTGGGATTCGTAGTTGTCTCAGCTCGTCCGCGTCGGTGACGAGGCGCGCGAGACCGGCGAATCGGGGCGGTAGCGCGGCGATCTGGTTCCGGGCGGCGTCGACGAGGTCTGGCGTCAGGAGGGCGTGGACGCCGTGGAGGGAGACCCAGTCGCAGGGGATGGAGTTTGCGGCGACCAGGTCGCGGAGATGGGCGTAGTTTGCGAGCTCAAAGGAGGCGATGGCGGTGTTTGGATTGTAGGATACCGGTTGGCAGTGGCCGCCGTTCTAAGGGATGTTAGTTTGGCTACGATTTGAGTTTGGTGGTTGAGAGTTTTGGCATGCTGATGTAGATTCGGTATGAGTGAGTGAATGAGTGAGATGATGGTATGAAACGGCGTTCCCATAATGAGCCCGCCCCTTCTCAAAACCCCGCCATCCGACGAAGAAGCTCCAGAAAAGAGCACAAACGAAGTAATAGTAACCCAGAGACCAGAAGACTCACCCTTCCAGTAGCACCCCAGCAAACCTCCCTCGCCTCGAGCAGAACAACCCTTTTGCCTTCCCCACCAGCCTGCCGCTCTAGCAGCTCCTTGGCGGCGAATGCGCCCGTGATGCCGCTGCCGACGACGACGACGTCTGCGGTCGGCGGCAGGTCCTTTGTGGTCCTGTGGCCGAGGAGCGTCTTGGAGGGCTGGCGGTGCCAGTACGACGCCGTGCTCTTCGCCGAGGGCAGGTCGGCCTGGCCCGGTTGGAGGGTTGCGCCAGTCATTGCTGCGGTTGAGGCGTTGGGATGCTCGGTTTCTTATCGGGTTGAGGGTTTGATAAGCCTCCTGAAACTGTGATGGACCTTTAATGGGTGATCTGAATAGATTTACACAGGATTGTCAACTCCAATTCGACACTAGTTGTTACGACATGCGTCTGTTCAGATTGATGCTTTGGTAACGTTGTTCGCGTGGACGGTTAGTCATGTGTTTGGGTGGTGGTTGATCATCTGTCGCCGCACATGTGAGGTCGGTCGGCCTCGACCCTCCAGCCCTTGCACACCTCCGACCACCGCACGGAAAGCCGAAAAGCGGCATTATCAACACACGCCCGCGGCTTGCGTCACTGCTGTAGAGATCCACAGATTGCTGACGACTTCAGATACGCGTTTTCAAAGCATGCTAGGGGCACAACTGTCATCAAATGATTTGACATTACTGCCCGATTACCATACCAATTTTTAAGGGTGGAAACGCCAATTTTCTCTATTTTGCCATCAATCCATTGGCCACCCGGGACGTCACGGCCATGAATGCCGCATCGCACACTGCCTGGGCCAGAGAAGGTCATATCTACAAGACAAGAGTACGCTAAAGGACGTAAATAGCGTAGAAGAAACACCTCTCCAACTCTTTTCTCGTTTCTGGTCCGTAGGGTCGTCATTGGTTCCTCGTCGTTTAACCCTGCATCTTTCTTCTCTTTCCGATCTGGGCGGAGAAACCGGTCTTGATGGCGGTGACGGAACGTCTCGAACCGCAGGAGTTGCACGTAATAAAGTACAGACGGTTCTCTCCCTTGGACAGCTCGGTATCGGCGGATTTGCCTGGGTTGAATGTCAGTGACTGCAGCGATATGCGATGATGGGGTGTTTGTTCGTAAGCTTACAGGTCTTGCAGGTGACGTACTCGACTGTAGGGGGAAGGACTTTGGTCAGCGACTACGCGGCTTATAACGTCAGGGGCCAAGACTCACTGATGTACTTGCGCAGCACGTTCTCGAGCTGCTTCTGCTGGAAACGACCCTTGATAACAAGGCGTCTGCTGCCGTCGACGGAACCACTGGTACCCAACTCGGAGAAGAGGTAGGCCGTGACGTGCTCCTCGGTTCTCTTCATGCGCTTGCAAATCTCGGCAATGTTGGCAAAGATGGTCTTCTTGTTGCCTTCGCGCATGCACTGCGGCGGCGGGATCTTGTAGCTCTTGGAGCCGCTGAGGGCGTGGTCGGGGTTCTTCTGGGACAGTTGATGGAAGAAGCGGTTTAGTAGCAGACTGTAGCTGAGGGCCTTGGTCTCGTCATGCTGCCAGATGCCGGTGCCTTGGTCCATGTCGCCATCGTCGACGGCACCCTCGGCCTCGGCACCTTCCTCCTTGCCCTCGAGCTGAAGTGCCTTGAGCTTTGCGGCAAACTCGTCCTCCTCGCCCTCCTCGGCGGCCTTAGGCTTCTTCTTCTTTTTCTTCATCGTCAGGTCCAAACCACCGTCCTCGCCAGCGGCGGCCTCCTCGGCGGCGTCACCACCTTCCTTGGGGACCTTCTTCTTCTTCTTTTTCTTCATCGAAAGGTCGAGACCGCCATCTTCAGCAGCATCGGGGATAGGGACCGTCGCATCTTCGGCTCCAGCTTGAGAATTGGCATCAGCATGTAAGGCTTCAAGGGCTGCGGTAAGCGGCGGCGTACGGGGCGTGTGCGACTGGGCTGTCTCCTTGGATTCCTCGGTGGCGTTGACCATCGTGACTGAGCCGTCGGCGTCGACGACTACTTGCTCGTCTGTAAAGGCAACGGATTTGCGCTGTTTGCGTTCGGGGACGGGGGTTGAATCCTGTTGGGGGGAGGCACCTATGTTAGAAAACGATATTCAATGATGGTTATTTTTTTTTTCCCGTTTGAGGAATTGAGAAAAAAAAAAACTGGACCAGTAGAGAAGGGGGGAGGGGGTCGAACTACGGCCGGGTGATGATGTTTGGCAGCTCAGACGGTTTGACAGAGGTTGAGTCACGGAAAATGTTCTATTCAACTCGTGTCTGGTTCCGGTTCGCAGTGGGGTAATTAAGCATGGGATTGGTGGAGGGGCCCGTGGGTGGTGGTGCTCAGAAGTGCGCGAGAGGGAGGGCTAGCAACGGGAACTTACTTCGACATCCATGATTGCGGCCTGTGTCTCACTGGACCGAGTCTCGGTTAGGTATCCTGGGCGCGCCTGGCTGGGTGAGGTGAATTCCTCGGGCTCTGGTCCACTGTGCGGTCGAACAAGTCTACTGTCGGCGCGAGATGGTGCAGAAATCCAAGCGACCGGTCTGGGAATTGGCGGAAGAAGCTGTCTGGTCCGTCTGAAATGGTTCGGTAATGCGATTTTGTGAGAGCAGAGATGAGATTTGGCTGCTGCAGTTGGGGGATTTTCTTGAGGGGGTGTGACGTGAGGGTGGTGGAAGCCCAGGTGCTCAGGCAGGCGACCGTCTTGCCCAGTGTAAGGTAGTGCTGCGCGAGCAGCAGGTGAGAGGGGGGCTCCAACTCTGACTCAGTGGTGAGATGCATCACGTGACTGGGAATCTCTCCGTCTCTGCCTGTTGCCATCCGTTCCCTGCTCCTCGCTCTCCAACGTCAGCGGGACCCATCAAAATGAGGTATCTAGAGCCAATCAAAATCGAGGCTTCCAACGTCTACGATTGGCCGTCCCAGCTGCCGTTTCTAGTTGGGGAAACGGGGGAGCTTCAGGCGTTCCGACCTCCGCTGCTGGCCCATCGGGGCAAGCTGGATTGGCATTGACCATTGGAGAGGCATCGCGGATCTTGGTTCAAACCCCCGCGAACGCTCATCTGGTAGATCGTCTTGTATCTCCACGGCTGCAACATTTGAAAGAACGCGTAAAAAGGGCACATACTGTCTTTCCGAGCAGCAACGCGCCGACCGAGCTCGACACTCCCTTCCCCCGATTCGTCAAAGGCACCTATAACTCAAGAGCCGAGCTGCCGACGACCAAGGGCCGACGACGCCTACCTTCTCTAACATGATGGCATCCACCGACTCCTTCATCCTGCACGACGACGTCTCCCCTTCCTCTGATAACGACGAAATCGACTCCCTGCCTTCAATATCCAGTAGTATTCTGGACTCTGAGGACGAATCAGACGCCCAGGAGGAATGGGAGCGGAGTCTGGAGCAGGTCCAGCTTCTCTTGACCATGGTCATCGTACCCTTTGCTGGCAAATACTTTGGTCGCAAGTTTGCATACTGGAGTAAGGCTTCTAGTCCCCAAACCTTTCCATGTACAGTTGCTGACGCAGTACACCGCAGGTTGGTCACGATACATGGAATGGATGCATAACGTCGAGGTGCGGTGGACGAACAAGGGCGCCTTCAAAGCCGCCGGCGTAGCGGAGGCAGCAGCAACATTATAGGAAGCTCATCTGGGGCTCATGGGCTCTTGGTAAAACGAGACTTTGGGCATTCTACTACCAAGCCTGCAACATCCTGCGTGATGTTCGGCGTGTATACATGGTTGGCGTTGAGGAAAGCCGTCATAGAAGATTAGGCGGCACATGATGAGGCGAGGCATCAAGCCCGGCCCAGCAAGCTAGGTCTCAGTCAAGCATTTGAGTGAATTTACGGATCACACTTGATATCAAGGGGTAAAATATCAAAAGACTCAATCACCCAGAGTTGGTTGTGTTCCTAGCGGTTCAAGTTTGGCTGACCAAAGGTCATCAAGTTATTTGAACCTATGGAGACGTTTGAGAATTGGAGAGTCGGAGTGATTTTGTGTAATGGTATCAATTCGTTGATGTAAGGTACTACAAAGAGCTGCTGATAGCTCTGCGGCCTACGCCCTGGCTCCCCAGGCATTCAAGGCCCCGCCGTATCCATGACAGTATATCCATATTATTCCATATCCATATCCTGTCATTCATTACTACAACATGCCATCGTGAAAGGTAAAGTAAAACAAGTACCAGCCGCCAACGCCGTCAGGCCCCGGTGGCCTTGCCGCAAGGCTTGCGAAGACCATTTGTCTCACCCAGCTGCCCCATCCAGTTCCGTGCCCCGATTGTTTTCTATCGCATTCGGAAAATCTGCGCCGCACTGTGTTGAGAGAGGCCAAAGACTTAGACGCCAACCTGCGCCATGCTGGGGCGAGAGCTGCGGACAGAACCCCCGCCGCGACGGAAGTTCATGAAGGTGAAGAAGCCGCCTGCACAGAAGCTGGCGAACAGGAACCACATGAAGACGGTGCTGGCCTGGATCTCGCGGCAGCGCTTCTCGTCGTTGGCGGAGCCCCAGACAATGTAGTCGCTCGGCAAGTCCCTCCTATTCAGCGAGCCACAGTTGACTGCGCGCAGCTTGGCGGACAACACAATGGCGTCGATGAATGTGAAGAGGATAGCAGCGCCATCGAGAGCTAACAGGGCAATGGGGATGGCGATGGCCGAGACGAAGGCGGCTGCCAGGCCGTAGAGAGCCGCCAGCCAACTGATGACAGCGACGAACATAGAGAAATTGATGGCGGCCATGGCAGAGCCGGCACTGTTAATGTTGAGGGCGATGACATTGCCGATCAGTGCTGTGACGAGGAGGACCCAGAGAATCTGTACACCCCGGACGAGGACCTGCAACATTGATTCCATCATGTTGGACTACTCGTGTATCGTGTGTCGTGAACTTGGTGAAACAAGGAATCCCAAATGTCTGAAAAGCTCGATTATCGAGAAACGGTCTCGTGAGAGCGCTGGAATGTGTGATTGATGTCGATGGCTCGTTTGTGGCAGTGTCTCAAACGAAGCTGAAGGCTTTGGTGTGACTGGTGGTTGATGAAGATGATTGATCTTGGCTTGGGTTGATATTGACACCAAAACAACGGGAGATTGATTTCGGATTGTACCTGTGTGTGTGATGTGGAGGAATACAAGAGTGAACAGAGTCTTGTAGGGTGGCGTGGGACAATTAAGACAGTTCTGGATCTGAACTGGTTGTCGGGTGATTAAGGTCGTGGCGGAAAGCAGTAGCAATGAGCAGCAGACAAGGGTATCTTTAATAAGTTGGGAGGGTGGGAAGGGATCGGTCGAGGAGGGTTCTTCCCAGGCGAAGGTTGGACATGGATTGGAAGAGGACTCTCGGCACCGGGCATGGACAATTTGCGCCGCGCTGGCGGAAGCTGCGCTGTGCTGCTCTGGTTCTGGCTGCGCGCGGACAAGGACAAGAGGGCAGCAGAACTTCGATGATTTCCACGGGGATCGGCACTTGCGGGAACGATGACCTCACCAGCCAATACCTTTTCTTCACGCGCACACCTGGAAGTAACAACACAACATGGCAACTAACACGGTACGTACCGCCACCATCTGTGCTCAACACCTGAGCCTCTCACGCTTCTGGATTCTGGAGATGAGCTTTTTTTGCTTTGCTGCTCCAAGCTTGACATTGTTTGAGCGCCTGACATGCCTAACGCGGTCCAATGGCATCATCCAAGGGTCCAAGACGGCCCCGACGATGCCGCTAGACGGCTTGGACGAGACTGCGTTCAGCTTAACGAATCCCTGGGGCATCCGCGACCGTCATCCATTTCGCGCGTTTACTGACGGATAGGGCCATCCAACAGATTGGCTTCTGAAACCAAGGCAGTGAAATCTTTGCAGGGGAGGGAGCAACCCGGAGCTGAGAGGGAGGGATTTCTAAGAGATGGTGGCGCGTTTCTGGTGGGCAGTGGTGGCGCCTCTCCCGACGTGCCCGAAGGACGTCAACTTTGTGGTCAGCTGTGGACTCTCAGGACTACCCTGTACCTTAGGAAGTCGCAAGCAAGCCGCAGGGCTCGTGGATGCGCGACTCTCATTGGCAGTTGTGGCTCTGTTCCGCCTTCTGCAGGGTTCATGACTTTTCCCATTCAGCTTTCCTGTGCAAGGGAAGACAAGTTTGAAGAAAAAACCCTTTTTCGGTGCTCTCAGCCCCGTCAACTCTGGCAGACACACTCTCTCCCTACCTTACCTTACTTTTACAATCTACCGGCGGGGTGATGCCGGTTGGCAGGTGAAGAGGCTCGCAGTCCCCCTCCCACTTCTGGGATCCTGGAAATCTTCTGCCCCTCCTTCTCCGCCCTTGTATGTCGTGTTTCCCCCCCTCCCGGCCCCTGCAGCAAATCCCATCCCTCCCTCCCGGCGATTCGCTGTCTTTGCCCTTCCGCAGCCCAGCAACCCCAGAGGAAACATCCCTCAACCATCCACATCAACCCATCTATGCCCTGGTCGCTGTATCCGCATCCTGGTTGCGATCGCTGCCGTCCTATCAAACCTTGTGCAACGACTTCGGTGAAACATGGTGAGCCAGCATATCCACGCTTGGAAAACCTGTCGCCTCCCACTCGAGCTGCCATCCGTCAAGAGCCTCATAAAATCCCGGCTAGGACCATACATGCCCAAAGGAACAGAAGATATGAGGGCAGCAAAAATCCAGTGGCTTCCCACGGACAACCACACCCGTGCACCATTCGACAAGCTTTCGCCGGTGTGAACCCACGGGCATCAATTACGCACCAGTCCATGTCCGTTCCCTTCGCCTTCGGCCATCGCTTTTGGGTGTCTAGTGTCTTGTTATTCTTAGCATCATACAGATACAGAGGGGGGGGAGCATTCACAGATGGAACGGCAACATGATAGAGCAAGCTAAGCACAGCAAAAAGCCTGGCCAAAGAACTTCTATTGATTTTCTCAAAGGACGAATGATCTCTTTGTCGCCCGTCTACTTCAGAATGCTTTGCGTAGGTAACTATAGTATGTGCTGACAGCATCATGGTAGGAAGCTCCTTGCGTCTCTACACGACTCAAGATCCTGCGCCTGCTTCTACCTCTCTTGAAGGCCAAATATTACGTCTCTTTACATAAACATTGTCTCATAGAGCAGAGCTGAAAACTTCGGAGCGCTACCTGATTGAGTCCCCTGCCTTGAAGAGTCCAAATAGCATCATAAGACTGAACACAAGATATCATTCTATAATGAATGACGGTACTTTGGCAAAGCACAATCAAGGACACAACCGCCTTGGTGACCTCATAAAACACAGCCTTTATTTTCTCTCGAGATGCCCAGCTTACGGTTTTCTTGGAACGTGGATTCAGCTGCATACCGCGTCGAGCAAGCGAAGCGTCTGTCGAGGCCAGCAGCACTGGCAAAGTACCCTTGTTGCTTAACGTGAAGCGCCGGAAACTTGCATCTTCTATACAAGTAGCCTTGCAATTCCAGCCTTTGTTCCTCTAGAGTCTGATGTTACCGAACGCTGGGGGTCTCTGGCCAGAGTTGAAAGGTCCGCATTGGCGGCCATTGATCACAATGCTCATGTTTTTGACACAACAGTCTACCTACCCTGTGGTACCACATCGCTGGTTACACAGGTCCGTTTAGGATCATCATCATCATCATGTGTCTGGAATGAGGACGCTGAGAACACCTCACCGAAGTGTTTTGCCACTTACCTCACCGGATAGGCTAAGGTTTATCTGTTGCTCACTTTTAGTTAGCTTTGTAAGGTCCCTACACACCATACGCAGGTCTCTGCTTGATCGTGAGGCTTCGTGACGCTCAAAAGAAGTCACTCCTCCCCAAGGGATCACTCTCCCCAAGGGAGGATATGATATTGCGAGTCACGTTCTACATATTCTATGGCGTCATTGGAACCGGGTCGCTGTCAAGCTACTGCAGAGAAGAATTACGGTTCCTCTAGCGTCGAACTATGAGCTGTTGTTGCTGGTAAACACTGTTTTAGTTAGGCCGAAGCCCAGCCGGGCATTTCTTGCAGAATGTCCGCCTAAAAAACATGACGTTGCAAACATGTAATATGCTTATCCAAATTAGGGGTAACGCATGGTCATGAGATATTCATCTTGATTTTTGATGGCAAAAACTACCTAGTGGCTGTTTCTAATTGTATTGTTGGCGAAAAAGCCCACTACCAACGTGCATCACTAACCTGCAAGGGACCTCCCTTCTACAACGACCCGACGCCGTAGCCGTGAATATACCGGTTTCGCGTATTCCACGTCGTCTCTCAACCACAAGTTGGAGGGGGAAAGTCCCTCCCCCGATTTCGGAGAATTGTATCATGTTCTTACCGGCTAAAGTTCAAAAGTCCCTCAATATACTTCCGTGTATCAATGCCGATGCCCGACGCCAGACGGCCCGCGCCGTCACCGCCCCATCCTGCTCCCGTCCCCGCTCCGCTCTCGGCGAACGACGAGCTGACGCCGCGGTAGCCGGCGTGGTCGCTCGCCCTGCGGATCAAGATGATCTCGTTGCTGACCGTCAGGCTCGGCGGCGCAGGCGGAGACGGCCGCGCTGTGCTAGAGCTGTCCCCGCTCGCCGGCAATACCTCTCTGTCAGAGGTCGACTTGTCGTCGTCCTCGTCGGTCTCCATCGACTGATATGCTTCACCGGGTGTAGCGTGTCGGTTCAAGATACGCTGCCAGACGACCCACCAACCACGATTGGTCTTGCAGGTCCTCTCGAGCTGATTCATTTCCGGTCGGGTGAGATTGAAAATGTTGAGCAGTTGCATGTGTGTATTCATGGCCTCCACCCTTGACCAGGGCAATTGGGCATTTGGCTGGAACGCTTGCGTATGATCCGGGATATTTGGTATAGTCGAGTACACCGTCATAGCCTCGGCGTCCCACACAAGATCGTAAATATTGGACGGGGAGGAAGTGGCCTCCGGTCTCTCTGGCCGATATTGTATCGACGACAAAAGTGGCTTTCGCAGAGGTGCCAACTGCAAATGGAGCGACTTGTAAAACGAGTTCCAAGCCAACGAGTCGGTCCTCAGCTCAAAGAGGAAGGTGAATACGAAGGGTTTGTTTACGTACACGACGACGCGCATTTTGCTTGCTTTGTTGGAGTCTTGGTTTCCAAACGTTGGGTTCGAGCTCACGGCGTTTGCCCCGAGAGGCGTCACATCATTCGTGAAGCTCCCAAGGTTCCTCACGACATCTGTCTCTAGCCGGTCCGTACCTATCTTTTCGAGCTCAACATGGACGGTGCGAAGCATAGTACGAGAGTTTGACTCGTTCTCAGCTGCCTCATCTGAGACCCCGATTTCGTCATCGCCGCTGCCCTCCTCAACGTCGCCCATCAAGCCGATGAGGTAGTGTCCCTCATCGTCATCCATCTGCTTTGGCTTCACATGCGCGTTTCCGGCGGCCTTGGAGGGCTCCATACTCTGCAAGGCAGCAATGGCAGAAAGTTGGCTCTTAACCGTAGATGAAGAAGAATCCGACTTGCCGATTGACCAGTAAGTGCCGTAACCCAGCTTCATGACCGTCATAATCTTATCCATATGGCCATCACTCTCTTCTTGTGCTGGCGTGGCGGTAGCATCGGTGGCGGCGTTGGTGTCTTTAGGAATAGGAGGTGTTTTATCCTTGATTGAAGCTGGCCTTTTGGCCTCTTTCACTGTGCCAATCTCCAAGCCACGCCGCTCTGCGAGTGTTCTCGTTGAGGTCGAGCTTCCGGAACCGGAGCCAGAGTTTGATCGATTTGCATTTGGACGAACCGGTGGCCGCACTGAAGGCTTCGTCAATGCCGTCGGGATCGGCACTGATGTGGCCTCCGGCACCTGTTCGGCTCTCTTCCCCCGTCGGACAGCGCGAAGAGATGTCGGACTGTCGATGACACCGTAGGCATTGTCTCCCCAGGTATACAAGTCTTCCATCCATAAGGTAATGTCTCTCACCGACTTGCGAGATAACGCTCCTGTCCCGAGGAATATGGCACCGTCTTCAGGACCCGGATCCTGCCCTGTGCCCAACCAGGACCTTTTCGGCCCCTTGCCATCTCTCGACTCCCCATCGGCATTCAAGGATCCGAATTTGGAGACCACGAGATCTTTGAGTCCCTCAATTCTCGTGACCAGGCCTTCCAATACCTCTCGTTCTCCGCTGCCCCGCTCCTCTTCGCCGACGCCAATGCCCAGTTCACCAGAGGCAGCGATGTTGATACCTCCAAATATTGTGCGAATCGGGTTCCCTTGTAACATCACGTTCCAGGTCGACAAGAATAGGTCCCAATATCGACCAACCAGGCTAAGGAAATTGGTCCTTTGGGAGCGTACAAAGAGGGCACTGAGCGAGGTGCCATGGTGAAGCAGAAAGATGGAATGAGCACGGAGCAGATCCTGCAACAGAAGAGATGAGGGCTTAATCTCCTTAGACGAAAACTCGACAACCTCTTCTGGGGTTTCTTGTGCTTTCCCAGTCTGGAGCTTGGGCGGGAGAGGAATGCGAGTGAGATCAATGGACTGCAGGCAATCAGCAAGAGCAGGTAAGTTGGTATGAGGTGAAACGAACAGCAAGGATCCACCAATCTTGCTCCAGCTCATGTAGGATCACACGTGTCTTATCCGTGTCGATGGAGTCGACAGGCTGGCCGCCAGAGAAGCTTTTACTGAACTCGACCATGCCCTGGGCAAGACCAATCTGACGAAGACGTTCATTGCGTTCTTCCTGAGACAGATTCGCAGTGGGCTTGGCACGTGAGCGGTGGCGCCGTTTGTGTCTCTGGGTGCTGACTGAAGAGTAGTATACGATTTGATCGTCAAGGGTCTCGTCGGAATGACCCAGCGACGGATTAAAGATGGCAAGAAAGCCCAGCTGAGCCGGAACGATGCCACCCGGTGACAGTGCCATGACCGGTTTAATTGCAACGGGGGCGCGGTGCTGTCAACGGCGGTTCACTGAGAGCGGGGACGGAATGCCGTGATGCCCAGATCCATAAACTCCGAAAGAGACAGGTGCAACGTCGGTGCGGCGGAGCCAGACGGTAGCAGCACCCACGTTAGCTGACGACTGCTGACGACGGTGATCAGATGGTCGACTCGTGAAGCGACGTCGGAAAGGCTGTGCCAGGCGATTCTCTTTACGCTGTAACAAGGGTAAACAGGCGACGGCAGCGATGTAAGCAGGGGCGCAGAGGCGAGGTAAGGTAGTTGGAACCGGAAGTAGTGTAAGTGACGGTGGCAGTCAGCGACGGAGTGAGACGAGGCTGCTCACGCAACCTGGAAGGCAACGCAAGCTCGCACGCAGTGCTGGCGGGCGAGTGGTGTTCGCGATGCTGGCGGAGCCCAGCGTATCCGTTTGTGCCTCCTGCGTCTTCTTGGAGGGTCGGCGGCGGTCGAGGCTGCCGGCAGGGCTGAATGGGGCCTTACTCGGATGATATGCGAATTCAGTGAGATCTCGATCGAGATTCCCCACGATACCGGGCGTGCTGAAGTGGCACCAGGACAAGGAGATGCGAGGCGATTGAACGTGAGATGCCTACCTAGACGCTGACTTGATTGGGTCGAACCGAGCACTGGACTACCTATGGAAGGCACGTAGCTGCGGAGGAGTGGAGGCTAGACCCGGCCGAACTTGGCGTTGGTGCTTTCTCGCTTAAACAGGCCGCGGTCTAGGCCACCATCGACCTTTATCTCTTGTCCTTTTTTTTTTACCCGCCAGGACTACGGGTTACTGAGGTACGCAAACCTGATCCCGACGGATGCTGGGACTTGGGACGGAAGGAAAGCTGGGACTGAAAGACAGGAACTTCAAGTTTACCCGTCTCGGCATGGGAAGGTCGATTAGGTCCAAGGTATATTCTGTTAGTGCTCGATGGATTTGATTGGACAGCCTATCTTGAAGTCAAATCTAGAGTGGGACCGAGGGCGGAAGTGAAGGCCGCTCTTTCCCGCCATATGTTCGCCCTGCGAGAACGCCCTGAACGACGTCCGACTTCCATCTTTTGGTCAACTTCGTTTCAGCGGCGGTCAAGCGCAGCCCACCCACCCAGCCTGGACTTGTTCTCACTGGTAGGAGAGCACGAGGCTTATCTATGCGGTAAACAACCTACTCCACCACTGGACGATTCTCCTGCCCCCAAAGGTATGGCAGCGCACTTAGCCAGGAAGGTCACACTCTGTAAAGTGACGACTCACTTGCAACTGATCGCATTGGGATGTACCGTTTGGTTGGGAATCACGATCTTCTGCGGAAGCTGAAAAGCTGAAGTTCAATTGCGTAGCAAAGTGTTGTCTCACAACTGCATCTCAACGACCTTGAACGAAACAGACCTTGACGACTGCCCTTCCCAACGACTAATCCGTGACATGACATTCAGCATTTCCCTGGCGACGTACCCATCGCGGGTTTCACAAGGCATACTTCTTCAGTAGTCCATGATATGTTCTAGAGCCCTCGGAATCCGCGCCTTCAATTTGATCACCACGGCTGTTGTCTCAAGAGGGTCGAAACATACGTCTTTAGGGGAATTCATCCAGGTAAAGGCCCGGAAAGGCGATGTTCAAGTCGAAACTCCCGTCGATCGCCTCTTTCTTCTTAGCTCATTCACTTGAATGATTTGACATGACTTTTGAAAAAGACCCGTTTTATGCAATGATCATCAAAGTAGCCGAAAGTTTTCTCGGGCAGTGCTTTGATCAATGATTACTTCTTATCCGGTAAAGAAAGCAGACTATAACATTCAGGGGCCGCGAGGGGTTTCTCGGGTCAATGGAAGCACCACTTTATTCAATATTATCTCATACAGCATTTGCGCTACATCTTCTCGGCTCGTTTCCGACGTTCTCAGCAAATAGCTCACCTGTGAATACGAAGTCCTGCCCTCACAACATTGAGACGAAGATTCTACACTCGTAGAATAACAGTATCGAAGAATTTCCTTCAAGAAGTATGTGTTCATGGCATCATCCTTCATTACTAATGGTATGTTAATACGCCTACCATGGTCCTGGGGCTAATCGGGAGATTGTAGTCAAATAAACGCTTCAGCCAGCATGGTTGGCTGTCTAATTATGAAGGCGACGCGTTGGCTGCTTGAGGATCTGTAGAAATTAACGCATTGTTTCTAGATAATCAAGTCTCACTACAAGATACGTGCAACTACATTTCTGAAAGAACAACCTCCCCACATCACCATGGACTTAAACGCTCGAGACGAAATATTGCTCAGAAATGTGACGGTGCTTGACAAAAGCTCAATGAGATCCGTCAATGGGCACAGGAGGCACCTGGCGGATCATCAGAAGCCGTCTCGCCATTAGAGACTCAACATGTTCAGGGTTCTCTCTCCTCTCGACGAGTAGAAGAAGAGGATGGATCCCTTGATCATTTCCAGTCTTATCCCGTTTGAAGTCGAGGGCTCCCGCTTTTCGAATGTTCCGAAGTAAATTGGAGATCATTTAAACAAAGTGGAAGAGGCGCCATTTTATCGCAAGTCTCCCTATCGATATACCGTGTAGGCCTTTAACACTCGGTTCTATCTAGTTTTGAACAGTCTCTTGGACTCCGCCGGCCGAGTCGGCGTATCCTGCAAATTTGTGAATCAACGGCACCATCAACAGGTCTGACTAAGGTACTCATCATTGCGATACAGCATAATTGCTGCAACTAAGAGGAGATGTCATACTGTAAACACCGCCGACGAGCATCTTGAGTCACTTGTCATGTTTGTTCAAAGCCTAACCTAACCTATTGCTGCCCGCCCCAAGCAGCATTGGGGCAAAAGTGCATGTGAGTAAGCCAGACCCAAAGGCAGCCAAAGTCGCATGGATCCGAGAGAAGTGCCCCCAAACGCGGATCGAATCGGCTGGCAAGCTGGTGGACAGACTCTACGAAGAACTTTGCCATTGAAGGTCATGTTTGTACTACTTCATAGATTGCAGAACGTAACGTGCGGAAGGACTAATAGAGGACGTGAAGTCTTCAGAGCCTGTAACAGGTCCCTTAGACCTCCGCTCATCACATGAGGAGGCATGTTCTGAATCGGATGGGAACGCAGAGCCAGAAAGACGGCATGCGATACCAAGGGGATAACTTCCTGGCCACGCAAGCTGTTCATGAGACGAAGTCTCCGAGGAGGACGTCCCTACGACCAGTTCCTCAGTTGAAAACACAGGAGCAACAATTCAGACACTGTCCCGACTTGAAGACCTGTCGTCTCCCGGTGCGCACTTCGAGTGCCCGATACGATTCGCAACACAGTCTTGCCGTGACGAGGAGGACCCGCGGTAAGTTTCAAATGGATGTCGGCATTCCATGAATGAAAGCTACCGAATCAAATAGAGTCTAAGACTTTGACGATTTCCAAGCGTAAATCTGCACCGTAGGGGATGAGCACTGCGATGATATGCTTTTTACCGACCGCGATTCTTGGTTCGAGCACGAGTTAGAATATCAACGCAGAGTACATCTGCAATTTGGGCGACGGAGAACAATTCAATTCCAGACCCAAAGTCCGGGACCACCCACAATATCATATTCACAGATGTTGCAGGCCGTGTGCTTTGATACTCAACGAGAGTGTAGCAGCGGAGGCTCCGAGGCAATAATCTACAGGCGACTTCCCGTTTTGCGAAACTTGGGCCGAGGAACTCCAAGCGGGACTTGGACGACGAACCAGTTAGCGCAGGACCACGGAGTGGTCAGCGCAAGTCGGTTTAAGGAGCACGTCGCCACTCACCAAGAGGAACTTGCAGTGCTCGTGCTGACGCCAGGTCTAGATGGCCTTGCGTCGCCTATGTGGTGATTACAAAAATGTCGACCGGGCTCGAAAACTTTGCCGCTGGTATTCGCAAAATCATTTCTGCAAGTGAAGAAAGGGATGTTAAGATGCAGAGACTAGTGGCCGAGAGTCTTTCGCTGTGCTCCCCGTCTGTTGTTCTAGTGGACGTTATCAATATTGAGGCGACTGGATCGCGGCCTAGTTCAGCGATACACCAGGAGCTCGTGGCTTTCCGAGTGACAGAATGGGGCGAATCCAAGCCGGGGACAGATTAAAGAACATACGGGAACGACTCCGCGAGTATCCACGCCCAGCTCTCGTGAAATCGTGAAACAAGATTCCGCGAAGTGTTGCTGACTGCCGAAGGGTTCCGACTTCATTCTTGTTAAAAGACCGACCCAAAGGTAGGACCATGTTCGTGCAACGGGGGAAAGTAGGATCATACGGGTAAACTCAGGTGAAAGGCAAATATTAAATCCGAATTGGCTTTCTCAGACTGGCTTCCGCCGTTTTGTTGACTGTAGCGCTATGTTTCGGGCTGAATGATAATACACAAATATAAAAGTCGTCGTTGACTACCTCAGGGACCATTCTACATGACCACGACTTACGGGCTCAGAAGGCCTTGTTGTTCGCCACGCAACTGATTTCTTTCGTAGGCATAGAGCTGATTCGGCATGGGCAGGCTTTGGCCAATGGTTAGAAAATTATTAGGGGAGATCTCATGTCATATCCTTATTCGTATCGTCGTTCAAAGCCTCTGGATTCCTTGAAGATGGTTGTAACCTCTACAATTCCCAGTGCCGGTTGCTAACATTAGCCACCACTGTAACCCCCAATCTAGCAGAAAAAATACAAAGCCGCTATGCTATACCTCAAAATGTCGTCTCCCGTAACTTCCCAATCTTGCCAATCTCATACTCTATCCAGCGGCCGACCCGCGTTCGTCCAGGCACAAGAATGCTGCCCGGGTTCATGACGTGGCACCCCTCGTACGTCACACAAAACGGCGGCGCCGTCGTGTCCACGAGGACCATGGACGTCGGCAGCGGATAAAGATGCAGTGCCGTCGCAAAATCCCAGTGCACCGGACGGGTTGCTTGACGGAAAGGCGACAGATACCCCTGGTCCAAGATCGTTTTGACGAGCTTCCGCGCCGTGTGGACGTCCTGCGGTAGGCTCGAATTGACCTGTTCGACGGCGGGCTTCTCGCTGGAAATATCGACATCCATAGCCTCTGCTACGGCTCGGTCGGTCTCAGCCATGTCGACATCGTCAGCTCCGCCCTCAGCCTCGGGAGGCTGGTTCTCCTCATCCTCGCCTGCCGTCTGTTTTGATGACTTGAGGCGGACTGCTGTGCGGCGGAGGCGGGCTGAGATATCGTCTCGGAAGACAACAACTTCATGATTCGGGCCGAACAGCGTCAGACGACTCGGGTTTGAAGTCCAGATGGCCTCGCCGTCGCTCTTGGCCCCGAGCTCTGCATTCGCGGCCGCGAAAACGCGTCGAATGCGTGATGTGAAGACGTCCGGTGCTGCTTTCCGGGGTAGCGGAGTCGCGGCGCCGGCGGTGAAGGAAGACACCCAGCCATCATTGTCGCCCGGAACGAAAACAAAGGTGGACGTTTGGAGGAGGGTGGGGTAGTCGGATAGGGCCGAGGCCAAGGCGTCGAAATATTCCTTGTATTCTATGCTGCCGCCGCTACCGCCTCTGGCAAGGACGGCATGCTGGGTAAAGTTGCCCGTGACGACGAAAGTCATGGGGCTTGAGCCTTCTGGTTCAGCCGCATATATCGCAAGTACCTTACGCAGGGCTTGCAACGTTCGTGGTTGGTCGAGGTTCAGCTCGCCGAGGATCACCATCCGACCTCTGCTGGGCACCTCCTCCGCAGAGTGGCGGGGCAATAGGCGTTGCTCGAGCTTTCGCATCTTGGATCCAACGGCTCGTTCGCTTCCGATGCCGAGGAAATCAATCCAGCCGAACCCACCTCCTATGGTGTGATCCTGGCCGCCATCGGGACCGCTGACCCCTAGTGTTGCTCTCCTCTTCTCGCAAGGGGGCTGGCCGATGAAGAAACCTTGGAACCTCCCGCCTAGTGTTCCTCCAACACCGCTGCTACCACTCAGTCCCTTGCCAACGGATTCCTCTTCCTCCTCGTAAACACCATCCACGAGCACAATCATTCCGGGAGCGAACCAGGCCGAATCTTCGGGAATTGCGACAGCTTGCGATAGATCTAGGGCAATAGTAGCAGTCAGGTCGCTAATTGCGAGGCCACCAGCAGGCAAGACATTCAACATGCCGAGAAGCATGTGATGGCTGCCGTGCCGACCTAAGAGGTTGGCAATTGGGGTAATCTTGTGGTTTAGTTGGTTTGATGATGAGCGTTTGCCCGATGGAGCCCTCGTGCTGGCGACAGCCGATGTCTGGAAAGACTCATTCCTGAGCAGTCTTTGATGTATAACGTTATACCTGTTCCTGAACAGCGCAGTCTTGTGTGATGCTGGCGGTAGCAGGGATGGCTTCGAGGTTTCTCTGCCCATCGTTAGCTAGCAACTCCTGTATGGGAAGAGACATATACCATACCTCTCGAAATGCTTCTTGGCAACATTGTAAGAGAACCTTGGTTGATCATAGGCATCGACGACGTTGAGCCACTTCCGCGGATCTCTAATATTCTCGTCGTCTTCCTCTTCCTCGACGCCAAGGCTGGACATGCCGAAGCTCTGTTGGCTATCCTCCCGAGCCAATGATGCCAGTGCCGGCCGCAAACCCAATCTCGTGTTCGACATGTCCGCATCCTGGCCTGGTTCAATCAGAAGACTATTCTGTCTACTCAAACCTCTGGCGCCGGCCACAATCTTGCCCCCACTCATGTTCCCTTCCAAAGTTTTCAGAATGTCCTTTAACTCCGGGCTGGCGCCATCGACGATAACTCCACCGTTGCGGCTCTTCCATGACTTGGCCACCTCCTCCAGAACCTTCTCTGCAAGCCCTTCCTCTCGCCATGCAGAGCCACAGTGCCGGCCGATAAAGGTAGCTAGTTCTTGCAGTGCGGTAGAGGTAAGCGTCAAGCTGTGTTTCTTTGTGAAAGTACGAAATGCCAGTGGTCGTAGTGTGGCCGGGGGCAGAATTATGGGAAGAATCGCATGTTTCGTGGGCGCCGAAACCTTGAAAGATTTCAAAGGATGGACCGGGGTACCGAATGCGGGCGAGGAGGAGGGTATCGCGGAAGATGGAGGGGCAGGCGTCCTTGCGCCAAAGATGTTGCCCATGGGCATCTGCTTGCGCTTTGGGGATATCGACGGTGGAAGATCCATGATTGAGCGGCTTGTTCGTGCTTTGGTGTTCGAATCGAGGACAGTGTAACGAGTTTCAGGAAACCCTTTGGCGTGGTGGGTTGTCGCAATTGTCATAGAGTTGTCGTTACGACCAGCAACGGGAGACGCCAATTGTTTAATTGAGACGCGTCTACTTCAGCGAAGCAACGCGTTTTGGTAAAGTAACCAACCATGCTCTCCCACGCCTAAGCCACAGTCAAGTGGAGTTGGACTTGTTGTGGCTGAAGCCGGCGGCTAAAGCTCCCTGGACTCGGCTGGCAGTGGATGCCGTCATGAATGGGAAGTGGGAGGAGCTGTCTGTGCCCCAAAAAAGTGATGAAGAAAGACAGCTTCGCGAATGGATTTGCGCCGCTTGTGTCTGTCGCAATCCCCTTACACCCATTATACTCACAATGCTGGCACCAGTAGCTCGCTTCTTGCCGAGGCATGCCGCTAGAGTGAATTTCTCCCGTGCTGTTTCCAGCTTGTCGTCCAATCCGCGCATCGTAAGTACTTGCTTATCTGGCGTGCGCATCGATCCAGGAAGCTGACCATTTCCACCGCGCAGAAAGTGTTACCCGCGGACGCATCGCGAGCCTCCTTTCTCCTGTCCTACCTCGAAGATGAGCCGCCCAACAAGAGAATAGCCATTGGCTTCTCAACGACTGACCCACCGACGCCACGATCGTTTATTGAGAACCAAACCTTTACCAAGATCCTGTACGAAGTTCTCGCCGAGCATGCACATAAGGACAAGGACCTCTTATCACAGGCTCAAGCCTTTGCTGGGCCTGGCGGAGCCAATCTTGGTTCCGGAGGCGTATTCTTCGCTCAGAAGAACAAGAGTCGTTCGCCGAGCAAGGTCGGAAGCAGCGGTGCTGGTGGTGCCAGTGCTCAAGGCGGCGCCGGTGGAGGCGGTCATGGTGGTTACGTTCATCTCAGTGATTCCAGAAATCCTCCAGACTTTGGCCGCATAGCATGGCCTGAAGATATTCTGGGCAGTGTTGAGGTTGATCAGAGCGGCAACATCATTGGACAGCTCGAGCCAAGCGGAACGTATCGGATCATCACGAACGAGGGAATGTAAGTTGAGAGGCCGAGGGGCAAGAAACCGGACAGATGGACTAACACAAGCAGTCTCGGTTTGAGTCCCTATCTTTCTGGGAAGCTCGTTGAGAGGCTTCGTGCGGAAGACGAAAAAGACCATTCGTAACCGCCCCACAAGTGCCGGGAGACTCTCCTCAGTAGACAGACCACAACGCTGGCCGGCCTGCTCTTCAAAATTGTACGCACATACTGTAATAATAGCTCACCACTTGATGACTGCACCTGGCGACGAGACTCTGTGAGTGGAACTGTGGGATGAAGATAAGTTCACTCTCGTGGCCGAAAAGTTACGGTTCCAGGAATGACTTGCAACCTTGGAAGAAATGGGTTGGACGAAGTCTACGCGGGTTTGGGGAACCCACCCGCCTCCACTTGGTCTACCATTTGGGTAAGGAACAAGCACCCGAAGGGTATCGTGAGCCTAGGTACTCCTATAACCTCGGGAATGGAGTTGCTGCAGAATCTTTCGTCCTGCAGACCACAGTTTCCCCCCACAACCCCGTACTCGACTCCCGCAATATGCACCTGGACGAAAGGAGACCAAAATCCAGAAGCGGGCACATGATCCCGACTCCAGACCGCCGGTTGATGTTCTCGGTTCGGGTTTGTTTTACCGACCAACTCTAGAAGCGGCCATTGATAGTCCTCAAAAGATTTTGATCCTCGCTTTGCATCTCGACATTTGAGCCGTTCCATGGCATACATGTACGTACTTGGGGTCGGAGGGCCGTTGTTCCTCCGGGTGGTAGGATTGATCAGGGTTGTTTAGCCGATGTAGAGCAGTTGCAGCGCCTTGATCCCTGGGTGGCCTGAGTTGCCGGGCCGTCCAAAAGATGACATGCAGGCGGGCAGCGATGCCAGCGATCCGTTGGGCTCTGTTTCCTGGAGTCAAGGGCACGAGGGATTTCCTGTGGCCAAGAGCTCAGCCTGTGTCGAAGGGCGATAATTAAGAGGTTCTGTCGCTAGTGCAGGGTATGAAAATGATACGCTGCCATACTGTGCTCCCGAGCCGCCATTAACTGGCCTCGTCACTACTGGTATCAACATTGAATGTGTCAGTCTGTGTGCCAAGCTCACTTGGGGATGATTCAAGAAGGCTGTGATTGCTTGCTGATAACCTTTGATCGAGTGTCCTGACATTTTCCTGGTCCAGGACGCCGGGAGACCAACGAATGAACAAACACTAGCATTGTCAGACGATGACCGATGACCGATATTGCAACGGTAGTCGTATTTGTCGGTTATCATAACGGGCGTAGCTATCATGTAGTCATGAGGCTACATCCACCAACTTCTCTGGTGATGCGAGCTGTTCTCGTCGGACCGGCTCACTCAGCAGCATGATTGTGAGCTGTCACTTATCAGCAACCGCCTCACACCACAGCCTGGGGAAATGAGGTGTATGATACCAAAGGTGTGTCGGACTATCTACCCAGCCATTATCTGCTCACCCACCTCAAACACTCCTTGGTTTACCACGTTGGGCCCGACATGAGATGAGAGGTGAGGCGGTGTCAGGAGGAACGCGTCAACTAGAAGTTATGTACGTAAGGTAGTAGCAGCACTACTCAGGATTAGTTTGACCAGCCCAGTGAAAAGCTGCCCAATTCGCGATGATTCTTTCATCACCGAAGTTGATTGAGTATTAGCCCGTAGGTCCCTGGTGGAAGCCCCTCCATCTTTGCACCCCAAAACGGCACCTCATGGAAATGCACAGACCAGCACAGCGCACTTTCTCCCCACCATTGCGGGCAAGGAGTTGTGGCACCTGGCATGGGCAGGCAGATAGAAAAGAAGGGGGGGCAGGAAGGTGCAGAACAGCCTGGCACGAACCAGGCAAGCCAGGGAGCTTCTTGGCAGCCACTCCACCTCACCATTCCATGTTCCCCTCCACAATCCACATCCAACTTCGTCATGCCCACTTGAGTGTGGTCCAAAGGCTTGCTCTGGCCACAACCCATTTAAACAAAAACGACCCGAGCCCCCCCTTCCGACCGACAACATGGCTTCTGGTTTCGACGAGGAGGAGCTCCATATCAGCCTCTCGCCCTCCCAGATCCGACGACGCTCCCAGCAGCACGGTGCCGCCTCCGATGCTGCCGCCCCCGCCGCCGGCCGTCACGAACTGCAACCGCCTTTGCCCGGTGCCGTAAACGTCGCCAACATGGGACCGCCCGTCGACACCACCGCCCCGCTGCGGGAGAAGATCAAGACAGAGCAGCGCATCGGCGCCTATAAGATTATCAGGACACTGGGCGAGGGGTCCTTTGGAAAAGTGAAGCTGGCCATCCACAATGGTACCGGCCAGCAGGTCGCTCTGAAGATCATCGCGAGAAAGAAGCTCATTAGCAGAGACATGGCTGGCCGCGTGGAGCGCGAAATCGAATACCTACAGCTTTTGCGACATCCTCACATCATCAAACTGTATGCTACTGATCAGGGACGACCCTCGCCTGCTGCAGACCTGTCACTGACTTGGCCCAACACAGGTACACCGTTATCAAGACGTCCAACGAGATCATCATGGTCCTTGAGTATGCAGGCGGAGAGCTTTTCGACTACATAGTGCAAAATGGCCGGATGAAGGAGCCCGAGGCGCGCAGATTCTTTCAGCAGATGCTATGCGCCGTCGAGTACTGCCACCGACACAAAATCGTGCATCGAGACCTGAAGCCTGAGAACCTTCTTCTGGACGATAACCTCAATGTCAAAATTGCCGACTTTGGTCTGAGCAACATCATGACGGACGGAAACTTCCTGAAGACGAGCTGCGGTAGTCCAAATTATGCCGCACCCGAAGTCATTGGTGGCAAGCTTTACGCTGGCCCGGAGGTCGATGTGTGGAGTTGTGGCGTGATTCTTTACGTCCTGCTGGTTGGCAGACTGCCCTTTGACGACGAACACATCCCCAGTCTCTTCGCAAAGATTGCACGCGGCACATACAGCATACCGCAGTGGATGAACTCTGGTGCTGCAGGCCTCATTAAGAAGATGCTGGTCGTCAACCCCGTGCAACGTGCCACCATTGATGATATCCGCCAGGACCCCTGGTTTATGACAGACCTGCCGCCTTATCTGGCGCCGCCGGTAGAGGAGTTCTTTAACACAGGCGTGGACCCTAATAAGGCCATTCAGAAGAGTGATATTGCCCCCAATGCCCCGCCTAGAGTCCAGGAGAAGTTGCACAATGAGGTCACAGAGAAGATCAGTAAAACCATGGGTTACGGGAAGAAGGATGTAGAGGAGGCCCTCCAGGCTGCGGAGCCGTCCGCCATTAAAGATGCGTACATGATTGTTCGCGAGAACAAGCTCATGCAAGTCAATGGTACGTTTCTACCAGTGAGAGCCTATCAATGTGTTGAGTCCTGTCTAATCTTTCAACAGAGGCCATGTCATCGCTCTCAGTAGACCAAGACGGCTCTAGTAGTCCACTCCCAAGCGCGTCGTCCGCGAGGTCGGGCGTGTCAACAGTCGGTGGACAACGGCCCTACATCAGCAAGATCGGAATCCTGCCGAGCAGTCTACCAAACTACCACAAGGAGTACATGGAGCGTGAAAAGGCTGGCCCCGAAGACCATCCAACGCCGACGATCGTGGTCGATGAACCAGGCTCATCTGCCCGTACGGATGCAGAAAGGGAAGAGACAGCAAGGCGCCTCAAGCCTCACTCTAGGAACAGTCAAGTTAGGCTCGACGATTCCAGCAAACGGCCACAAGGCATGACGCCAGTCGTTCAGGCAAAGAAAACAAAGCCCGTAAGATGGCAATTCGGCATTCGCTCGCGTAACGCACCTTGGGAAGCGCTGTTGTGTATCCACAAGGCCTTGAACAAGCTCGGCGCGACTTACGTCCCGGATGAAGACTATGAGAAGGTCCACGGCACAGAGGCTGATCAGCCTAGCAACGACGGTAGCTTCGTCGAGGAATATGCTCCTCAGGGGGCCAATGATTCAACTAGCAGTATTGATCCTCTTAAGAGATACAAGCTACCGGCCGACCCATGGCATATCAAGGTCCGATGGGAGACGTCGAGTAAGTCGCAGACTGCTTTTCGATCTGCGAGGATTTTACTAACTAGACCACAGCACTGCATCAGAGCTCAGGAACTCCCACGGAAGGTAGCAAGACTCCGGATAGCTATCATGTTGTGAGTGATGACGAGGGCAAGCGAGATTTTGTAGCCTTGCACGTGGACATCCAGATATACGAGATGGAACACGGCGTCTATCTCGTGGACTTCAAATGCTCGGGCTACGAGACGGCCGACAAGAGATTGCTCGAAGAGAAGGATGTTACAAGTCCGTTCCCTTTCCTAGATATGGCTGCCAGGTTGATAATGCAACTAGCCGAAGCGGACTGAAGATCCGTCGTGGTCAATCCGTAGTTCCTCTCGGGCATTTTCTCCCCTCCGTTTCCACAAGGTGGAAAATTTGGAAGTACTTTGAAAACGGTGGGCTCAGCGATAGACATGGGAAGAAAGGTCGATCGATCGGCCCTGTCACAGCGTCAGGTTATGCGAACAAGGGAGTTTTGGTACGGCGGAGACGAATGGTTGTGCAGTGCTCATTTTGGTTTTCTTCGGGGGCCAGTAGCCAGTGGGAGGGCGTGGCTCTGTTCAAGTCGTCTCAGCTGAGGCGAAAAGGTGGCACAGTGTGTTTCCCCACCACCAAGTCGAGATTTAGACGGCAGCAGGTTGTACTCAAAACCAGGCGTGGGGGGTGAATTAGACACTATTTTACATCGCGAACAGGCGTTGAATTCAACAAGCGTCATATCAACATGGCGCGACTACGGCATTATTGCGAGAACTCTGTCTTTCTCGGAGACCTACTCAAGCCCGAGACCCCTTACAGCAGGTGCATCCATCGGCCGGCCACGGCACCGAGCAGAGCCTCACGACCTGAAGTGTCCGGTACGAATGCACCACGGATCTGAAGGTCCATAGCACAAAGGCGGCGAGGATCTTGGCTCAAAGTGGCAGCCAGCTCCGTGGTGTGTGTCCTGCAGTCGATCATCACTTCATAGACCTCGGATCCCGCACTTTGGATCGAGTACCGGACAGTTACAGACCCCTTGGGCGTGTTCTAGCAGAGCCTCATGGGAACG